GGCACACTTCGAGCACTACATCTGACCGCGATTTTCCAAGTTCGGTTTTCAATCTGCAGCTGCGGGAGCGCGCCTCGCTGACTACTTTCGTATTTAAAGGTTGCGATTTGCGAGCACTTTGCACTTCGCGTTCAATTTCGTGAGTTTCGAGCCGCAGCTGGAAAAGCGTAGTTGGCTTACTACTTTCAGACTTAAGAGTTGCGATTTCCAAGCCGCGCCAGAGTGCGCTTCGCGTACTTCTTTCGTACTTAAAAGCGTCGACTTTTGAGCATTCGCTTCACTCGGCTTCGTCCAACATCGAAGGCACATTTTTTGAAAAGAAGCGTGTAACAGAAACGAGTCAGCCGCGTGTGTCGTTTGTTCATTTGCTGGTGTTGTCAGCTGCGGGAGTGCTCTCGAGGGCAGGTGTGGCGCGCTGCTTGGGCGACGAACCGCGTTGTTTTGGGGGGGACGGGTGGCACATCGGCGCGAGAATCGATTGAAAGGGGCTCCCATTCCCCTATGCTTCCAAAGCCTATTAAAAAAATAGTCGTTGTGACAACCCCGGTTTTTTTGATCAAGACCTGCTCGCGTTTCATTTGAACCCGTCCCGTCCCGGCGGCGCCGGAGGCTACGACGGGGCCCAGAACCTCGCGGACTGCGAGCGCTTCGACCTGGCCGCCCGGCCGCGCCGAGCGTCGAACTTCTGCGAGAAATTCCCCGCGGCCACGGCCCCCCCCCGCGAAGCGAATTTTTCCGGTGGTTTGTTTTGTGGCCAGCGCGTCGATGCGGGTTTTTTGCGGGCGAAATCGGGCGAGGACACCTGCAGCATGCACTGTCGGGGCCCTCACAAAGCCTTGGAAGCAGTAACACGTAGGTGGCTGGTATGGCAGGCAGGCTACATGCATATGCTTTCTTTTAAAGCACAAAATCCATCCGTTGCGAGCAAACCACGCAATCCTAGCTGTTTTTGTCGTTCACTAAGAAAACACGTGAAATGCAGTGGAAAGACTTGTCCCTTCTTGTCTTCTTGTGTGGGTTTCAATCAGAGGACCAAAGGGCGGAGTCTGCTGTGGGCGAGGGTTGAAAGGCCCATGTTTTTCCTTCCCTTACTTTTCGCGATGTGCCGAGGAGGATTGGGAATGCAAGAAGGTCCTCGAAAGCAAGATCGAGACTTCATGCTTGTGTTGGTCATGTGAATTTCCTCTGCTAGCCATGGTCGCCCTTGGTGGGTTGCATGGGGGATTTGAACCCCGGTTGGTTGCAGCCGAATTTGAGAAGGCTACCCCCCGAAGCAACCCAAACCACCGACCCAAACCACCAATCAGGGATAAGGTGATTTGGGTAGGGGTCAAAATGAAACCACCAGTCGGGCCGCAGGTTTTGGTGTCCTTGGTTTTATTTTACCAGGGCAAGCCATCTTGGAGACCTACTTTTCTTTGGTGCATTTTGCTTGAATGTTAGGACTTTCACTTTTTGCCAACTAACGGGTTTTCCGTATTAAACCACGAAAAGTCAAAAAGCTTTTAGCAGGGGAGCAGATTTCGCAACCGAGTTTTGACAACCACAGCCAGGGGCACGGAGCCTCTCTCAGGCGCAGGGCATGTGGGAGCTCCTGCCGGCCATGCAGCGGCGCCGGGGCTACTGTGCCGGCGCGGCCTCGTGAGAAGAGCGCCCGCGAGGGCACGAAGTCATGGCCAGCATCTTGGCGGCTGTAACGACCCCCCTGGGATTTTTTTTTTATGGTGTTTGCCTTTTTGGGGGTTTAGTGGAAAGCCCAACTTGATTTCAACCAAAAAGTGAAAAGTCTAGAGATCCAGCCCAATAGCAGTCATGGCCGGTGCCAGGTGTACATAGTTGCACCGTTTCACAGAGAGGGATCCGGGAGTACTAGACTCAAGTTTCTGGGCCCCCTTTTGGGGAGCTCGTCAGAAACCTAAAGTTTGAGTCTAGAGTCTTGAGGGAATCCAGAAATGGAGCAACACACAGAGGCAAGGGGCCCGGCTGGGCCTGTGGCTGCCGTTGGCGGGCGTTGGGTGAGTTTTTTGGGCCAGAGCAGTTGGCACAGCTTGAGGGGTTCCCGAATCCTCTAGCGGGTCCCCATATTTCGCCAAGCTTAAGCCAGCTGAAGCCTACCATAAAATACACACCCATCTAGGTCCCCCAGTAGTGCCCTTTTACCCTTTTTTGGGGGGGAGGGTTCCCCTATTAAAATAGACTACAGAAACAAGGGTCCCCTTATTCTAACCTCTCCACTGCAGGAACCTGGCCATATTTCAATCCCACCGGAACTACAAACCCCCGCTTTCACCCCCGGAATTTCCCAGGCCCATAAGGGCCGGTCCGTACCGTCCGCTCGAAGCAGCTAGAGCGGAGACGGTGGAGCTCCGCGCCGCGCCTGCGCGAAAAGCGTCGGGGGGGGTGGTGACAGGATCCTGACCGCTTGGCCACTTGCTCGTTTCCAGATGGCATCCGTGTCGAATTGGCGCCTCTGATATCCAATGCCTTCGAGCTCGTTTTCAGCTTCTCAAGATCACTTGCACGATTTGGGCCTAGGCTAACTCATGCTTGGTGGAGTTTGCCCCTGAGGTTTCACTCCAGGGGTGGCATGTGGGATGCTTGGAGTTCTCACGCTACAGGATGTGTGGGAGGTCGAAGCGCAAAGCAAGTAGCTTGAGACCTGCCATGCCTCTCGCTTCACTCCGAGGCCGTGAGGCGGATCGGAGCCGCCAGTCTTCGCCAATGAACACCCGCCAATGAGCGCGGGCGGATGTATAGGATGCCGGACTGCGGAAATTCGGAAAGGGTTTCTCAACTCTGTCTTCTCTTGCTAGTTGCCCAACGCCATACGCTTGTGTTGGTCCCTTTGCTTGGCTGGGGTCCGAACACCATGCGCCCCCAACTTCCGCCATAGGAAATGGGTGGAGTTGTCATTGATCCGTATGTTATACCCAGCTGACCCAATGACTCTTTGGCTTCGATGCCGCTGCGTCAATTTTGTACCCTCTGAAACCAAGGAGTAGCATGGAACATCGATCTCCATCAGTTGAAAGAGGCGCTGATCCTGGTTCCATTGTGGCAATTCAGGGGTTTTGGGCAAACACCCCCCCCGATTCGGAGTTTTGGTTTGTCTTTTCGACCGGGCCGCAGTCCCAGCGCGAGTCCGCCCGCTTAATTATGCCGTGCTGCCAGTTTGTCTTGACAAGCGGCACGCGTTCTTATTAATTTGCTGTCGGCTCAGATTTGCAAAAGCCACGGCTGGTGCGGCCACCGCGAGACTTCTCTCGAGCAGGAGTGATGCCTAGGCAGAGTGTTCCTACTCTGGCATGGGCAGGTCATGCAATCTCTCCCTCCGTTGGCAAATTGGCAAAGCTTTCCTTCCCGCTCTTACTGATGGCTTTGCTGCTTCGCTGGTGTTTTGGCATCCATAAACGTTTCAGAACAAGATACGCTAAGCCCATGGTGGTAAAGTGCTCCTGTGAATCAACAGGGGCTTGTTGATTATGGTTGATTGCTTGATTGGAAGCCTGGCTGATTGATCTATAGCTTGCTTGACTAACTTGATTGAGGACAGCTGCGGTCAAAGAAGTCCTCTCATTCTGCTAAGAGCACCTTAGTTCATGATGGGAGTCCAGGTTTACTTGCTTTCTGTTTTCTCTCTTCTTGTTTCTTTGGGGGGTGGGGGGAGGGGGGGAGGGGGTTGTGGGTGGGGGAGTCGCCTCAGCAAGTTAGTGCCCCGCTGTTCTCGTTGGTTTCCTCCGCTCGGCCTCACGTGGCCGCGCCGCTTGAACCCGCCAGCCCCGAAAGCGGGCCGAGAGCGGCGCGAGATCTTCAGCAAAGCGTGGCTGGGAGCGGGGCTTGGGACCCGTGGTGTCACCCGACAACAGCCTCGCGTGAAGAGGACAAGGTCTTGGTGTCTAGAGTATTCCCAAGCATTGTTACCTCTTGGTTTTACCACGGATGGTGTTTGGGTTACCTACTAGAGTAGCGAAACGCCGGAAGAGTTTTCACTGGGTACATCAAAACCGTTATCCCGGCGACAGGCTTTCCTTCAGCCGGCCTCTGGCTCGCGCCAGAGCACGGCTCATGTACATGCGGGTCTTGAGGGACCCCCCCCCAAATGAATGCTGTTCCCTTGGTTCCTCTTGAAAGCCAAAAAGGGTACCCTCCCACCGAGTAACATGGAATTGCACAGACCCCTGTAGAAAGATTACAAGGGGTTTGTGCACTTCCATGTTAGTTGGTGGGAGGGTGGTTCGCCTGGAAGCACTGGGTCACACATAACGTTGGATTCTACTTTTACAGCGGCAACCGAAGGATTGAGAACTACCTCATGGTCTGATTTCGGTCCTCATTCCGCAACTTGCTGCTGCGGAATGGCTGCGTCCGGGGTGTTGGGAATGAAGTCCCGAATAAAGTAAACCACAAGGGATGGTTTATAGGGGTCATTTCTTCATTCCTTGCTGAGAACCAGCAAGAAAAAAATACCGTGTCAGGACTTGTGCTCAGCTCCCGTTCTTTCCTTGAAAACGCAGGTGGCATTTGCTGACCAGGTAGGTCCTTCAGTTCAATCTGATTGCTGCGGCGCTCTGGCCATACGGAAATGATTCAGCGAGGTCCCAACCAACAAAAGCCTTCCGCCGTTGGCCCACAGCCTGCAAGCTTGGACCGCCCCAGGTCCTTTTCACCAGCAAGCCAAACCTGCAAGCTGGCTAAGGACCAAGACCCGTTCCTGCTCCCTTGGCTCTCGGCTCAAGGGTCGATTCGTCTCAAGCTGGGGCTCATCCAAAAAGTGGCGTTTTCCTTTGGCTTGCTGAAGCTCAGCCCAAAGTGTTTTGCTCGCCCGCCCCCCCCCCAAACAAACAGAAGAAATGGCTGTGGGTCAAAAATAGGTAATTACCCAACATTGAGCCCTGGCAAGTGGTAACATAGACTAAAACCTGAGGTCTGGTGGTTTAATTTTGACCTATACCCAAATGACACCCCCCAAATCGATGGACCAAAAGCGAGATCCGGGCCAGGCCTTGCGACCGCCGGAGCCGGTGCAGCCGCAGGTGAACCGGCACTTACCTTTGAAGCTGCGTGTGGCTTGTTTTTGACGGTACCCCTTTTGGGGTTGGTTATTCAAAGGACTTTCAACATGAACATTTTCTTGGGCACGTGCCCATTGTAAGCATGCACACACACATACCCTCCATGCATATATGTGGATGCTACGTGCGCCAAGACAAGAACAACCTGCTCACAGTTTGTAGGTAGACGGCCTCACTCAAGTCCTGAAGTATGTGAACGTATCTTGGGGTCACTTTGCCGATGCACCACCGACTTCAAGTCAGCTGCGGTCCGCTCCATGTTTTGACCAAGCCCTCGGCTCCCATTGGTTCCTGCCCGGCCCTTGCCAGCATCCAAGGGTGTTTTTCTACCCTGGGACTACCCACTGGTAAATTAATAGTAAGCTGTTCCAGATAATGAAAGCCTTATACTTATGTCCCACTGGTACTTGCCTTGGTGTAACGCCAGGGTCTTCGAAATCCATTTCAAAATGGTCCAAAAGCCGGAAACCAAGAAAAAAGTGGTCCAGAACCGAACACCATCACAAAGTCGCCCAAAACTATGATCAACAAGTGCTCCAACAACCATGGGAGCGCTCCAAAAGTGTGGGCACCATCAACATGGTCCAACAACCATGGGACACATCAATAAAAAACGAGCGCTCATGTCCAAAAGCCATAGGACACCTCAAAAGAAGTCCTGGGGGACATCTGCAAAGTTGGCCTCGTTTTTCTGGGGGCTTCCCGGCTCGCCCTACCCACCCCTACCCCTCGCACCCCCTGGCGCCCCTCGCATGGCCACCGCTCCGCAGTCGGTGGCCTCCGCCCCCGTGCGGACGGAGACGGGGCCGGAGACCTTCCTGGAGGCTGAAACCATAGGCTGGCGGGTCCGGCTGGGGTCCGGGGGGTTCCCTTCCTCGGGTAAGGCACCCGTTTTTTGGCTGAATATTTTTTGCTGGAAGTTTTTTTTTGGGGCTGGAAGTCGTAGGTTTTTTGTAGTTTTTCAATTATTTCCTGGAATTGCACAAAGGAATTTGCTGAAAGGTTGTTTGTTTTTGGGTGGTTCTGAATACCAGTGGGGCAAGGAGGGAGAGAGAGAGAGAGAGAGAGAGAAAAAAACATGCCCTTGCCGAGAGGAATGTGTGGTTTGTTTGAGAAAGTTGGCGTAAACAGAACAACCACAAGAAACCCATTTGCTGAAAGGAATGTGTTTTTTTGTTGTTTTCCTTGGTGGTTTTGAAGGGGATCGATTTCACTACTGGCAACAGTGTTTTTTGGATCTGGACTTAAGCAAATGGATGCGTCAGGTTGGTGGTTTGGAGGAGTTTTTGCATAGAGGCATGCATAGGGGAAGTACAGAGTGAAATGCATGGATGCATGCACTGGGAAAGTAGACGTTGAACTGCGCAGAGGTATGCGCACAGTAGACAGTGGAACACATAGAAGCATGCGTGGGGCAAGTACGGAGTGAAACGCATAGAGGCATGCATAGGGAGAGCGCGCAGTGAAATAATGGAGGCATGTGCAGGGAAAGTAGACAGTGAAATGCATAGAGGCACGCATAGGGCAAGTACAAAGTGAAGCGCATAGATGCATGCACAAAGGACGTAGACAGTGAACTGAATAGAGGCATGCGCAGAGTAGAGCGTGAAATACATAGAGGCATGCGCAGGGCAAGTGCAGAGTCAAGTGCATGGAGGCACGCGCAGGTAGACGGTGAAATGCATAGAGGCATGCGCAGGGAAAGTAGACGGTGAAATGCGTAGATGCCCTGGTGCGACATGCTTTTTGATGGGGAAGACCTGGGAGCTGCGTGGAGGCAAATGCTGTCCATGTCTCTGAATGGTTGCAGTATTTGGCGGCTAGGCCGCCCACAAACATCCACAACACCAGCGTGCAGTGTGCGACTAGGACTCCGGCTCAGGAGCAGAGTTTTTTTGCCCCAGGGGCCCAAGAGGTGCGCTTCAGGCGGAGCTGCAAGATCTTGTTTGCAGCTTATGAGATTGGTGGCGTAGGGACTGCGGCAAATGATGTGGCAAGCCTCGTTCCTGCAATAGCCACAATGGTTGCATGGACGCCTTTCACGCCCTACTGCTGCGGTTGCTTCGCAAGGATATTGCAGCTTAGGTTGCTGGGGCCCTTGTTTGTGTGTCCCTGCAGCGCTGTCTGACAAGCGCATGATGCGATGGACCGGAAGAGTAGAGGCAGGCGATCAGGCGATGGAGGAGCAAGTCCGCGAGTCCCATTTTTCGCATCCATAATTCTATGTACAGTGCTGTTTTCTCAAATTGGTGAGGGGCTCTTGTTCGGGGTGGTTTGGGGCAGGTTTCAAGGAGGTGCCAGAGGAGGTTCGGGGAAAATCCTGGGCTGCTTCGGGTACTGGGCTTATTACCTTCTCGGAGACAAGCGCGCCCGCACATGCGCAGGCCCTGGCGAGCCAGCCATGCAGCCGGGAGCGCAGGTGCAGCGCAAGGCAGCGCTGGAGGCGAGATAGAGAGCAAATTTGAAACACTCAGTGGGGATAGGTTGTTGTTATTGGTGCTGGTGCTGCTGGTGTTGCTGTTGGTGCTGGTGTTGTGATTGGTGTTGGTGTTGGAATTTGTGTTCTTCTAAGCTTACCAGAGCCAAAGAGCAAAAACCTAATCAAGGGTTTCGTGGCTAAGGGGATAGGTAGCGAGGGGCTCCCCCATCAAACAAAGCCTGGAGGTGGGCAAAAGCGCGTTCAGGAGATGCACCGGGAGATCGGGCAGCTGATGGCAGCCGGCAACAGGAGCGGAGACGAAGCCGCCAAACCACTACTTTCAGGGGGAAACGGGATATAATGCTGTCTTTTTGCAGTGTAATATTGACCCCATATTCATCAACCCCAGTGAGTTAACAGGGGGGCGTTCCCTCCAAAAGTGATGAATTACTAACACCAGGGACACACCCCTATTAATAAACTGGGGTTGATTAATATGAGGTCAACATTACACAGCGGCTGTGTGTTTCATAAAACTTAGGGGGGGTGCCTTTGGATAGTGTATGGCTCTGCGGATGGGAGCGCAGCTTGTAATTTAGGAGTATTTTCGAGAAACACTGGTTGCTTGTACCGTGCGGGGGGGGGTGCAACCCATTCTAACGAGCAAGACCATCCCCCTATTCATCCGCAAAGACGACAGCCATCCAGTGTTCCAGGGTCAACTTTTCTGCATTGAGTGGGGATTGTAGGGCATGAGCAAGTGAATCGCACCCAACCGCGATTTGAGCATGGCCTTCCTTAGTCTGCCACATGCCAACAAAGATCGCACCTAGTGACTATTCCATTAGCTGAAAGGCGAATTTCTTATTTTCCCTGGTTGGTTTTAAAGCGATTTGCGCATTTTGTCCAGGCCAAAAAACAAACTCGGAAGGCCACTCTTCCTGCTCTCATTGCTCGCTTCCAACGGCTTGGCCAAATCGCGATGCGATTTGGCCAGAGGATACATACCTTCTATGACCTGAAGTGCCAGCAGCTGCGGGAGTACTACGATGAGGCCCGGGGTTCCTTAGTCGGGTCCTGACCGCTACGCCTTTTGATTCACGTTGTGTTTGCTCTTTTTTTTTTTTTGGGGGGGGGGGGCTGGGGGCCTTTCTTTCCCAATGTTGGGGAGTGAAAGGTGAATGGAGGTTGTTGCCAGAACTGGCGCATCTTTGGTGGACCAGTTGCGCAAGGAAGGCGTCGGCTAGACAATAACAGACACCAACCACGGGAACAGTTCCTAGTTTGCCCACGACGAATGACATGCCTTGCCCCCAAGAAATGCTCGTGCTCTACCATTGCAGCCACTGCCGAGCCAACGACAACAGCATGCCAATGCTGTGGCCGATTCTTGAAGCCCGGGGGAGGAACAGTTTGCATCTGTCAGCAGTCAGCAGTTTACTGTACTGTGCTAGGCCGTGCATACTTGCCTTTTGTCGCGTGGCATGGGCAAACATGGCATGAACAAGCCATAGGACTGCCAAACTGTTGGCAGTTTAGTGGCAGTTTCCAATTAAATTGCCCACTCAAAGTTAGTCACGTTTGGCCGGGGATCTGAAAACGGGCAGCCCAGTTCCTTGGTCTCCCAAAGCCCCCGGTCTCCCGAAGCCGCGCCCGCGCCTCCAGCGCCCCGCGCCCACAGCGCCGGAGCCAGGAGCTCCACCGCGTCTCCGTGGCGCTGTCTTCCAACCGGGAGGTCTGGGAGGGCGTCTCGGAGGCGCGCATGCTCCCGGGCGCATGCGCGCGCCCGCGCGCATGCGCCTGCGTTTTTTGTTCTTTTTGTTGTTTCCTTCTTTTTTTTTTCTCGCGCGTCTGCCGTTGTGTTTTTTTTCCTTCTCGGGGAAAAACCGACAACAACAAGAAGCAAACCCATGTCTTTCAAGAATCGGGTGCTTTGAAGTAAAATCTGATCATGTGGGCTTGTCTCAAAAATCCGCGAGGGAAGCGAGGAGTCAAATCCAATTTCGAGGCGCGAGAGCGGCAGCGGCTGCTGAGCGAGGAGATCCAGCGATCTGCCCGGCGCTGCGACGAGGCGCTCGGCGCACGCGGCGCACGCGGCGCACGCGGCGTCCGCTTCGCTTCGGTCGACGTCGTCGGCCAGTGTGCAAAGCGCCTCAGAAGGCAACATGACTCCCCCACTTTTCACCCAGAATCAGACATCCCCCATTAACAAACTGAGGTTGATTAATATGGGGTCAGCTTTTGGGAAGATAGCAGTGACCTTGCCGACCAGAACAGAGACAGTTGCCCTCGGCTCGAATCAACATTCTGGCCTTTTGGTTTTACATGCTGGAGAAACCCCTGATTGCTATATACTGTAGTGGCAAACCGAGTGGATGCTTCCAGGTATATATATATATATATATTACCATATATATATATATATGTCACCATAGGCTACCTCCAGATTTTGCATGGAGAACCCCCTGGTCACCTGCTAGAGTGGCGTGCTGGAAGGAAGCGCCCGGGCCAAGCACTCGAAAGGCACACAACCCCTGTGCTTGACTGCCATTGGGTTGGATCTTTAGACAACTTTTTGGGAAATAAAGGTGTTTTCCACTAAACCCCAAAAGGTGAAACTTTTTGCAGGGGGGTTAACAGCAACCAAGTGTGTAGGTTCCTTGCAAATTGCTGTTTTCATGGCCAAGCGAAGAGGAACAAGCTGAGATCCTTACCTCCAGGTTTTTACATCATAGCGAGCACTAGGTAATTCGGGCAAGATTAGGTTGAAAGGGCAAACCTTTGCACTTGTCCAGTTCATTTCAGGCTATCTTATTCTTACAGGTAATTAATATGGAAGATAGTTAATTTCAGGCTACATAAAGAGCATATTTAAAAAATAGAAAACAATAAAAGAAAACACAGAAACCACTTATAAAACATATTCCATGAATAAAGCAAGTCAGATAGACAAAAACATCGCACATCTTCCCTTCGGAGCCTTGGGCGCCTGGAAAACCGCCGCAAGGCGAAGTCTGAGGCCCGGCACATGCAGAAGGCCATCGACGCCGCTGGCCCGCTGGGCGGGGGCGGCTCCGCGTTGGCTCCAAGAAAAAATCCACGCGAAGGGCCGAGCTGGTAAGGGGAACATGGAAAAATCCAAATTGTGCGAAAGAAAACCAATGAAGACTCCGAAATTTGCGAAAGAAAACCAATGAAACCTCCGATTTTTTTGCGAGGGGAACCAAATGAAAAGTCCGAATTTGCGAGGAACATGTGCGCAAGGGACGCCAACGGGAACATCCGAATTTGCGAGGGAAACCAATGAAAAGTCTGAATTTGCGAGGTTCTTTTTTAAAGGGTTTGCGAGGAAACCAATGAAATGTCTGAATTTGCGAGGGAAACCAAAAATGAAAGTCCCGAATTGGTAAGGGATGCCAACATCAAAGTCCAAATTTGTAAGGGACATCAGCATGAACATCCGAATTTGCGAGGGAAACCAAAAGGAAAACCCGCAAGTGTAAGGGAAGTCAAAAGGAAAACCACCCAACATGTCCTCTTTAAAGGACTTCCTTGGGTCGTTTCCTTGGGGTAGAATTGTGGCAGCTTCCTTGAGGTCTAAGATGTGGCCGGTTTCAGTGCCAACTTTTCATATGTCAGGCCTTGGGTTGGCAGTTGTTATCTTGATTGTCATTGGGTCGCGGATCTTTAGACTTTTACCTTTTTTTTTTTTCGGTGAAATCAAGGGGTTTCCATGGAGGCCACAGAAAGTTCGACTTTGGCAGAGGGGTCGTTGCAGCAACCAAATCATGGCCTGACTGGAGTATTACAGTATTGAACACTTTGCTTTGGACGGTTGCACCCGCTCTTCAGCATGGGCGAGCTTTGTTCCGGGCTCTCAGGAACATGAGGAGTTCACGAAGAAGATGTTTGACTGGAAGAAAAAGATGCTCAAAGCGCAGGGGGACTTGCAGCACGAGATGCGTGGCTTGGCCGCTTTTTTTTCTTCTTCTTCTTTTTCTCGCCTGTGCTTGGCACGTGGCGATGCAGGTTGCCTCTCAGCGCTGTTTTCATGTCTGCCGCTCTTCGAACCCGTGGCTGAATCCCGGGCCTCGAAGTCCTCGGCCTGAGGGAAGTACGAGAGAGACGGCTTGGTGGATGTGAGCAAGATGGCGGCTCTGCAGAAATGGGCAACGGTGGTTTTTCTTAGAAAAGTCCATTGCTTGAAGCGGCCCGTTTCGGTGGAATGAATGAATTGGGAGCACAGTTGTGGAGAACATGGGTGGGCGCGGGTTTCAGCCATAGGAAGAAGGACAACGCTTTGGTCACCAAAGTCGGGCTCACTTCAGGAAGCGTTGCGAGGCATGTTTCTTCAAACCGAGCCGATAGTCGAAGCATTGCCCCCCAAACAAATGTGCATCATTCCAGTAAACGGAAGAGAGGGGGTACGCTTATGAAATGCTTGTTTTTGCAGACGTCAGGACGTACCTTCTGAACGGAATTGTCCCTCTTTGAAAGAAAAGGGATGCCCCCATTTTGGGGCCAGCGGGTCGTCGGTGCGTCTCCAAACCGACCTGTCAACCTGTTTTGCTCAGGAGAGCGAATTGGGGAAGCTGGATACGCAGCTGCAGCAACTGCCGGGGGCCCAACCAGAAAACCAAAGCTCGGCCCGTGGTTCTATGCCGCATCAGGACGGCATAGCAGGCAGTGGAACAGGTTGCTCAATTGGTGAACCGGGTGTTTGGAAGCTGAAATGCGGTTTGGGTGTGGCTTGAGTCCCCTGGCGACCTGAATCGGCGCAGGACTTCGGTCAAGATTCGGCCGGGTGGAGGTTTGCGGGGGCTTCTGTTTCGGGTCTGCAACCCCTTGCAGGTGGTTGGTCAAGGGGTTTGGGTTTTGCAGGGTTCTGGGGTGGCGTGGAGCGATTGGGTTCCGAGTAGGTTCAGAGCCGCTGTGCTGGGGATGCCACACCACAGGGCAAGGCGTGAGCTGATGTCTCTTTTCAACGGCTTGACGTTCACTCCGGGTCAGAAAGCCTATGTGAAAGCGGTCCCAACGGAGGTGCTGGTCTTCCACCACACAACGCATAGGGAAACTGCACGCATCTTGACATTCGGTACACGCATTGGGACATGCATGTGTTGTCTATGGGATTCTATGGACCGCACGGAGCAACAGCAAGCGGCCCGCAATTTGTTTGCGAAGCTTGGCTACCAGGCTTGTCTTCCTAACCGATTGCTTCCAGCCCTTGCCGGGGCCATATAGGATGACTTCCAATGCATGTACCGCCGACCACACCACAAGTTGGAACCTGGGGGGGGGGGCAGCCATCAGGTCGCCAGAGTGCTTTCTCATTTTTCAACTTTGCGGGATGAGAGGCTCCCCCCTTAGGCCTAGGTCCCCAGCATTCCCCAGCTAGGTGCCAACTTTTACAATTTCTTTTTTGGGGTTTTGGGTTCCCCTACTAAAATAGACGAAACCGAAAAAAAAGAAGAAAGAAGAACAAGTTGGTACCAACTTATTCTAAGCTCTCTGGAGGACCTAGAGGCCCAGACCGGCGGGGTTTTGTTGGTTTTTACGGGGTGCTCAGGTCCACCTCGGTGCCGGCAGAGCAGTTGGTGGCGCTGCTGTGGCGCAGGGGCCGGGGGGAGCGCCTGCGCCTGCGGCGGGTGATGCACCACGAGGGGAAGTTGTTGCACAAGGCATGCGGATGCGGATGGAGGTTTGGAGGTGGGAACAAGCTTCCATTTGGTTGAGAATATGTCTTGATTTTCCCCTGTTGGTTTGAAAGGGAATCGATTTCACTACGTGGAGCCAAGGGGTGTGGATATGGGGCGGAAATGGGGCGTGGAAGGGAGCAGGTAGAAGGGAGGCCGGAAAGAGTGAGGGAAGGGCGAGGACGGGGAGATGGGGTAGGGGAGGCTGGGGGAGGGCAGGACGGTCGCATTTGACCCTACCTCAACGTGGTCGCATTTGACCCTACCTTACGATGAGGTAGGTTCAAATGTGACCGGAGGTAGGGTCGTATGTGACCGTTGTAACACATGCAACTGAAGAGCCCCATTTTGACAGTGAGGTAGGGTCAAATGTGACCGGTGCGTTTCGCGTGGCCCTGCCGTGGAATTGGAACGCAGCATTCGATGTATCTAACGATCCAGTAGGGACAAAGGTGACCGGAGGTAGGGTCGTATGTGACCGGGGCCCCTGTTCCGTTGTAAAAATCGAGCAACTCAAGGGCCCCCTTTTGAGAGTGAGGTTGGGTCAAATGTGACCGCAGCCTTTTGAAGTGACAACGCAGCAGAAACCCTAAAAGTGATGTGGTAACTACCTAAAGAAGTGACAGCAAACCAGAAAACCCTAAAGTGATGTGGTGACTATAACTGAAGTGACAACGCAGCAGAAACCCTAAAAGTGATGTGGTAACTACCTGAAGAAGTGACAGCTAAACCCTAAACCCTAGAGTGATGTGGTGACTTTACCTGAAGTGACAGCGCAGCAGAAACCCTAAAAGTGATGTGGTAACTACCTGAAGAAGCGACAGCGCAGCAGAAACCCTAAAGTGATGTGGTAACTGCCTAAAGGAGTGGCAGCGCACCAGAAACCCTAAAGTGATGTGGTGACTACTTCAAGAAGTGACAGCGCAGCAGCAACCCTAAAGTGATGTGGTGACTACCTAAAGAAGTGACAGCAAACCAGAAAACCCTAAAGTGATGTGGTGACTATAACTGAAGTGACAACGCCAGAAACCCTAAAAGTGATGTGGTAACTACCTGAAGAAGTGACAGCTAAACCCTAAACCCTAGAGTGATGTGGTGACTATACCTGAAGTGACAGCGCAGCAGAAACCCTAAAAGTGATGTGGTAACTACCTGAAGAAGCGACAGCGCAGCAGAAACCTAAAGTGATGTGGTAACTGCCTAAAGGAGTGGCAGCGCACCAGAAACCCTAAAGTGATGTGGTGACTACTTCAAGAAGTGACAGCGCAGCAGCAACCCTAAAGTGATGTGGTGACTACCTAAAGAAGTGACAGCAAACCAGAAAACCCTAAAGTGATGTGGTGACTATAACTGAAGTGAGAACGCAGCAGACACCCTAAAAGTGATGTGGTAACTACCTGAAGAAGTGACAGCTAAACCCTAAACCCTAGAGTGATGTGGTGACTATACCTGAAGTGACAGCACAGCAGAAACCCTAAAAGTGATGTGGTAACTACCTGAAGAAGCGACAGCGCAGCAGAAACCCTAAAGTGATGTGGTAACTGCCTAAAGGAGTGGCAGCGCGCCAGAAACCCTAAAGTGATGTGGTGACTACTTCAAGAAGTGACAGCGCAGCAGCAACCCTAAAGTGATGTGGTGACTACCTAAAGAAGTGACAGCAAACCAGAAAACCCTAAAGTGATGTGGTGACTATAACTGAAGTGAGAACGCAGCAGACACCCTAAAAGTGATGTGGTAACTACCTGAAGAAGTGACAGCTAAACCCTAAACCCTAGAGTGATGTGGTGACTATACCTGAAGTGACAGCACAGCAGAAACCCTAAAAGTGATGTGGTAACTACCTGAAGAAGTGACAGCTAAACCCTAAACCCTAGAGTGATGTGGTGACTATACCTGAAGTGACAGCGCAGCAGAAACCCTAAAAGTGATGTGGTAACTACCTGAAGAAGCGACAGCGCAGCAGAAACCCTAAAGTGATGTGGTAACTGCCTAAAGGAGTGACAGCGCACCAGAAACCCTAAAGTGATGTGGTGACTACCTCAAGAAGTGACAGCAAGCCAGAAAGCCCTAAAGTGATGTGGTGACTAACTAAAGAAGTGACAGCAAACCAGAAAGCCCTAAAGTGATGTGATGACTATACCTGAAAGCGATGTAAAAGCCTCAAGACCTAAAGTGACGCATTTGGCAAGAAACCGTCAGGTAGGGTACGGTCAAATGCGACCGGTGCGTTTCGCGTGGCCCTGCCGTGGAATTGGAGCTTGATGCTGCCATCTCGTTGCCAGCTGGCAATGTTGCTTGAACGCAAAGTAGGGTAGGGTCGCTTGTGGCCGGTGCGTTTCGCGTGGCCCTGCCGTGGAATTGGAACATAGTATTGCCACTTGGCACTGATTTTAAGCCCAAAGTAGGGTAGGGTCAAATGTGACCGGTGCGTTTCGCGTGGCCATGTCGTGGAATTGGAGCTTGATGCTGCCATTTCTTTGCCAGTTGGCCATGTTGCTTGAGCCCAAAGTAGGGTAGGGTCAAATGTGACCGGTGCGTTTCGCGTGGCCCTGCCGTGGAATTGGAACATAGTACTGCCATTTGGCACTGATTTTTGAGCCCAAAGTAGGGTAGGGTCAAATGTGACCGGCGCGTTTCGCGTGGCCATGTCGTGGAATTGGAGCTTTACGCTGCCATTTTGGCATGGTTTTTGAAGCCAAAGTAGGGTAGGGTCAAATGTGACCGGCGGGTAGGGTCGTATGCGACCGTCCTCCCCTGGGGGAGAGTCAAGTACTTGCCAACCAGTCTGAATAGCCCGCAGTGGCACGAGTCATTGAGTACCCACCTGCTGGTCCATTCTGACACTCATGTTGGATCTCTTTTGCTGTGGGGCGCCCCGGAATTGACATAAATAAATCATGGCACCAAAACAGCGATGGGATCGTGCTTCGGGCGAGGAAGCTTGACATAGTCCGGGCGACCGATATTTCAAGGTGCGCCATCTCTCGCTCGCGCGCGCAGGCCGCTGCCAAGGTGCAGGTCATCCGCACGGAGCTGGAAAAGGGCGTCCAGGCCAGCGGAAAGTGGCAGTTGCGAATGTGTCCCTCGGGTTTTCATGGGGTCGAATCACTTCTTTTTTTGTTTTTTCCGTTTCAACCTTCCCAGGGGGGGGGGTGTTATTGGGTTGGGGGAAAGCCTCAGTTGCTCCTTTAGCGAGTCAATCGGATCTGAGCTTCCGGTTTTCCAGTTTTGGCCTGGTCCCGAAAGCCTTGGGCAGTGTTTGCAGGCAAGTCATTATCGTACCTCCCTTGGTTAGGTGCTCCGGAGTTTCCCATTTACAAGAACCAGGACAACGGTGCCCAGACCAATCCAAACCACAAGCCGAGTTACCATTTTAGCAGCTGACCTTGGGGAAACCATCATGTACCAGAGGTAGCAATGCCCGGTTGCCTACTTTAGAGGTTTGCCTGGAAGCCCTGGAATTCAAAACAAAGGGCTGTGTTGGGAGGATTTTTTCAGGAGCCAGCACAGCACAACCCCTGACTGCGTGTCTTTCTTTTTCCCTCATGCGCGCCTCTTCCCTCATGGTTTCCATGCGCAACTCATTCGGATGAGGGCTTATCAAGATGGTGAGGGCTTATCAAATGCTCAATCCCCTCTTGGTATTGGAAGATATTGGAAGGGAAGCCAAGAAATGTTGACCCAGGATGAATAAACCCATCCCATTCTTAGGGGGGGTCCCTCTGAATCCCCACAAAAAGGGACACCCCCCTATTAATCAAGCAGGGGTTTATTCATCCGGGGTGAGAAGCCAACCGTTTTCGGTTTGAGGGGGACGAAGCCTCCCAGTCCCAAAAAGGAAGCCTTCCAGTTGCTCAGTATTTCTTTTCAAAAAATCATGTTAAACAAAAATAAGAATAACAAACAACCCTGTTGGTTTTTAAAGGGAATCTCTCACTCACCATAGTTGTTTGTTGAATTATTTTTGCCAGGGGGCGAAAAAACAAAATGGAAGAGAGCATTCTCCTATCGCCCTTTGGGGATGAGACGGGGCTCTTTGGGGATGTTCTCATTTTTGTCCAGGGGTCTCCACCAAAAAGAAGCCAACGGGCGCCATGTCGCCCCGTAGCCGGCAGCGCAGGAGCTGGAGGACGAGCCCTTCAGCGAGCTCCTCATGGAAGAGCGCGAAGCCCGAGCCGAACTCTTCGGAGCATAGGTGTCCTTGGTTGTTGTTGGGAAACATCTTTCCCATTTTTGCTTATTGTGGTTTAGTGGTTGGAATCCAAATCCACTGAACTGCTAGAATTTGAGTTTTTTTGCTCCCCTTCCAACGTCAACCAAGTTTTGTTTGCTTTGCTCGAAAAATAGATGGCGATTCCTGGTTCACCTGGTGGTTTAATCATCTACCAGGGAAACCCATCTATTTTTCCTATGCTTCGGAGAGCACAACCATGCGTTTTAAAGATGTTTGTTTTTTTTCCGGGGTTCTCTTCATTCAGGCCCTGGTTGATTTGGTTTTTTAGTTGCCAACAACCACTCGCAAGCAAAACACATGTTCCCAGGCCCTTTTCAGAGGGTGCCCCTTTTTTCGAGGACCAAAAACCCAGCCACGCAGGGCTTCCAAGGCTTCCTCAGGGCATCCAGGGCATCCAAAGCTTGCTCGGCTCGTCAGAATTTCCGCGCCTCGGTGCCTCTGTACTTCTCAGGTGTGAGACGCTGTCGCGGAAGATCATGAAGCTGGACCAGGCCCCCGGCGGCGGCGGCCGAAGCTGTGGGGCGTGTTCCGTGTGACGTCGGGGGGGTTGATGGTCTGGGGGGTGGGGGTGGGGTGTGTGGGGGCCAAAGGGCAGTCACTCCCCAAGTTCCGGAGTTCCGGACTCGAGTCATAATTAGGGCAGTTCACACTTTTTTGGGGTTTGGTTTCGCCGTTTTGGTGGTGAACAATATGGGCCTTTTCTGGCCAGTCCACTCAGGAAGTGGGGCGGGCTGCGTTTTCGGGAGTGGCGAAAAGAGAAGCCAAAGGGCTTGAGGGTTCCCGGGGGAATGCAGACCCTGGGCCCCCGGGGTCTAAGTAGAACCCGTCCTGTGAACAGGGGCGTGTTCCTTCCAAAAGTGGTGCGAATCCCCACGAAAAGGGCACACACACACACACACCCGATCAAAATCAACCAGCCAACGCCAGAAATTGATGAATCTGGGGTCAATATTCGGAGAAGGGAACCCTTTGCTGCGGGCCCTGTTTTGTGAGGAGAATGATCCAAGGCTGTCGGTTCCATGGAGGGAGTGGTTGGCAACAAGCTGCTAGCAGCACCCATGGGACCTGGACCCGGCGCATCCCGTCAAGTCGACAAGTGCCATGCTACCTTCCATGGGTAAATGCCAGGTACCCTTTTTTGGGTGGGTCTTTTATTTTTTTTACGGTTTCCCCCGAAATGGTGGTTGTCCTCTTAGGTTTCCTTAAAACCCACCAAAGTGCCCAGTGCTACCAGGTACCACAATAATATGTAAGGATGTTTACCTCCAGGTTGGAAACCGATGGTTTCCCCCCATTTTGGCAACCAAAACGTGGCGAAACGCCAAGGCCAAGAAGGAAGCACTGGGATAGCCTTCTTCTTCCCCAGAACTACTTCCCCATTTTTATTTTTATTCTTCCGCTTTGCTTTTTCCACTGCCCAGGCCAAAAAGATTTGGGGTTCCCTTTGTTTTCCCACCCAGGCCACAAAGATCTCATTTTTTGCGGTCCGATTTTTCCGATGCCGAGGGGCGTTCGATCCGCCAGGAGAACTTAGAGCTGCAGGATCAGATTCTGAAGACCGGAGGCCCCTCGGCCTCAGGGGACGTCTGCCAGCCGCACGGAGAATCCCTCTGCGGCTCCTTTCTCTTCGTGTTTCTTTTTTTCTTCTTCCTTTTTTTTTGGTTTTGTTTTGTTTTCTTCTTCGTTTTTTTCTTCCCGGTTGGGGTGGGGGTGGAAGGTCGGAATGGTCCAGTGGCATCATTTTTTCGTCGGAGCTCGGGTCGCAAATCCGCAGTTGACGGGGCTAAAGATGGTTTTCCATCCGGGCAAATCGGGGGGTTGCAGCCCCTGAATTTCCAAACCACCAATCCAAACAATTCACCTTTGCATGTTGCCAAGGGATGTTAGGACTTTAACTTTTTGCCAACTAATGATTAAACCACTGAGAGGTAAACTTTTAGCAGGGGAGCAGAAAGCAACCGAGTAACTACCAGCAGAAGGATGCTGAATCTCTGTTCACTCGAGACGGCTTCGGGCACCAAGGAGAGGTTGACTTGGTGCAGCATCCCCGCGACTTTGACAAAGCTGAAGTCAGTTTTTAGGGGCGCCGGTCTTTGTCGCCGCGCAGGGGCGGGTGGCTGCGTGAAATTCAATGTTGAAACAGCGTCCAATTTTGGGCTTCTCAAGATAATGGTGGGGTGCTTTGGTTTTTCCTTCAAGTAGCAACCAAAAAGGGTCACGATTTGGAGAAACATCCAAGTGCTATGTGGACATAAATCGCCATATTTCTGATGTCCACCAAAGGGCCCCGCAATAGCAAGTCATGCCCTCTGTGGTTCCGCGTGCAAAGAATTGTCACGAAGGATGGCACACCCCGTGGGGTTCCTGAAAGGGCCGGCCTATATGAATGGGAGCTTCTCAATGGCATCTAGATTGAAACCGGAAACCAGCTTTTAGGGGCCCCTGCTTTGAGAACCTCCAACGAATCGGCCCGTGGAATCTCAGAATGTGACGATGCAGGATGAAACATCAGTGATGCAGGGGGTCATCTAGCTGACTCGGGGCAGAGATGTTCAAGCCACTGGGCAAGTTCTCTCTGCCCATGTTGAGTGACGACCACTTCGCACCGACATTTGAAAATACCAGATGCTGATAGAGCATGATAGCTCGGGTGCCAGCAGAAGCCCTGGTGGGTGGGTGTGTTTTGAGGGTACTGTACCTTTTTTGGGTCGGCTTGACGGGAAACCAAATGGAAACCACCCAGACCTTCGAACCCTCAGTTTGAGTTAATTTGGAGGTTGATTGGTTGTCACAACCGCGTTTGAATCAATTGGACGCGGATGAGAACTTATTTGGGTGTGGGTCAAAAAATCCATTTTGGGTACCTATTTTTGACCCACAGACATTTGCAACCTGGTGGATTCATTTGGGGCGTTCCATTCAGATCCGAGGCCCCTCAGAGCCGCGGCCCATGCTCCCCATGAGCCTGCGGGGCGCCCAGCTCGCAGAGAACCGGTCTCCGTGGGCTTCGGGCTTTCTGGAAGACTGTCGGAACGGCTTCCTGGCGTCTCTGGTGCCGACAGCAGCTCACTGCCTGAGTTGGACATGATACCTCTTGGCAAGAGATTCCACGCTGGTGGTAAACAGTTTGGACGGTTTCGGGCCATCCGCTCGGGAACTGAGGGAGTATCCCTTATATTCCCTTCAGCCATTTGGAGGAAAGCATGACGGCCTCTTCAAAAGGTGTAACCAAAATGCTGCCAGCAGGTACCCTCAAAGAAAGACGTGGACGTATTCAGGAGGGTGCCCCCTTTAACTGCCATATGTCCATGGAAAAATCGCGTCCTCCGCGATGTTTGTCTCGCTGGAGGGAAAAAAACAAGGCAAGCTTGAGGCGTGCCAGCATGCTGATTCAAGACCTGGATCGAGTCTTTTCGGGCTTGGGTCCCCAAATTCGGAGGACCCCTCAACGTCGTGTTTTTTTTTCTTCCTTCCTTGAGAGCCGGTTAGAAACCGGGCACTCCAAAAAAAGGCGGCTTCAAATACAGGGCTCCTTAAAAGATCTCCATGTTACAACCATTTGAAGCATGTTTGCCTTTTCACCAACATAAAGGGAAGGACACCAGCATTTAGAAGTTGCAAGGTCCAGGTGTTGTCATGCATCCGGATCCCTGAAAAATAACTCCCGGGAAATCCCCCTGGTTTTTTTCTTTCTCAGTCCCGAGTCCCGAACGATCCCACTTTGGGAGCTTTTTTCTCATGCATCTCGATCCCAGAAACCCGAGGGCCTGCGAGCCTATATCGCAATCTTTGGTTTTTAGCGTAAAAAAACGCGGTTTAAGGGTGTGTGTTCAAAGATCGCCTTTGTGCTTGCTTGTGGTTTTTCTCCCACTTTTTTTTTTTTTTTCTATGGGGGGGGGCAGGTGGTCTTGTGACATTCGGCGGGGAAACGGTTAGAACTTCGCCCCGGAGTTTTGGACTCGGGCAGGCCGAAACCGCGGCGGAGTGACCCGGAGAGCCTCGGCCAAGAGGAGCTTTTTGGGGTCGGAGTTGGCACGTGCGACCTAGGCCCCAAGGTGAGCCAATCAAAACCCGGGAAGATGTGTTTTTTTTTTTTTTTTGTTTACCATGGATTTTTAGGCAGACCATTTTCATACCAGGTTTTGAGCGCGACTCGGGCAGGCCGAAATGTGCCCAATTTCGGCATTTGTTGAGCCCTTGTTGGGGTGGCCAGGTTCAAAAGTCAGATCCGAGTGGCCAGTTGGAAATTGTCTTCCTTTGTGGGAGTGCCACGGGTGTGCCTGGGAATCCCTCTTCTGGGTGTATTTTGATTGAAGGAAGCTCAAAACTACGAGCCCGGGCATCCAACATTTGGAGACAACCTCCCACCCTTTCCAACCTTTCGGAGGGCCCCCAACGGGTCCGGATCCCTGACCCCCGGATTCGTGAAGCATTGAGACATTTGGGACATGGTAACATCCAAAGGACGGGCTCAGAATGGCGACATGACATGTTGCATTGAAGTCAACTCACAAAGACCGGGGAGAAACACACCGGGTAAACTGGAAGCTCCAACTAGCCTGGGTGAACCCTTTCACCCATTTGGTTCCCATCCTACCAAAGTGCACCACGTTACACACCCAGAGTACTCGAAAGAGAAACACTTTTCCAGAACATCATAGTTACTTTCGGAGGTCCTCTTCATTTTAGTTCGCCCGGAGGGCCCTGCCATATCCGGATTGCTCGGCTCGAGATTTCACCGATCGGACGTTCCGCCGATCTGCGGGGCGTGGCGCGAGCGCGGGGAGCGCTCGGCGCATGGCGCCGTTTCCCCGAGATGGTCTCGGACCCCGTGGGTCTGTACGTGTCGAGGAGGCCGGCGAGACTTGGCCAAAGATGGCGCCAGGAAAAAGCAAGGTTCAAACAAACAATAACTATTTATATATAACTGCACTGCCATCAATTTTGGCGTTTTCGACCTTGGGACCTTTTGGAGAGATGAGAGTTTCCGCAATAGGCCTGTCATTCGGGGCCGTTTTGCTTCTGCACAGAGCGCTCCTGGGTCAAATGATCGTCTTCCCTCTGGCAGACGTGGACTTTTGGGGGGGAATCAGGTGCCGTTTTGGGCGAGGAAAAGGACGCCGCACTTGGGGTGCACTATGTTAGGAAAGACCCCGAGTTCTTGTTCTTCTTCGCCATGTCGTTTCTTTCCTCTCAAAAAAGAAAAGCCGGCCCCTCATGCCCACTGCGCGGACCGTGCTTTTCTGCTTGGATTTGCTGGTTGACGCCTGCCGCGTGGCTTGGTGTTCCCGTATGGGCCAGTTCAAATCCCCGGGCGAGATTTGAACTTCCCGCATCCAAAAAAACAACGGCAGAAGAACTGGCAGATACCTCACCGGAGCCCGAGATTTGGGCAAGTTGGGGTGTGGCCGCCAAACGCCGCCCCCGAAGTGCATTTCGGTCTTCCTTTGGCCCTTTTAAGCTGATCTCAGGTTTTGGGTGCAATTCCCACCGGAAACTTTCCAAAGGAGAGGAAAGCTGACGCAACCGAGATGTTTTAGGGGTCTTCTAGCGTACCCGGTGACTCTCATTCGGGATTTTCCGAAGGGACGGAACATGGGTATGGGTCAAGAGCAAACCACCAGAGAATCTAGCCCTTGGTTCCATTTACCAGGGTTCCATTTTGGGGTTGCCCTATTTTTGACCCACACCCACAGGTCACCCACATGTCAAGAAAATGCGCGAACTACTCTGCGCACTGAGGAGATGGCCTCTTTCTCCCGAGACTCCTCCAAGGCCCGGCTGCCGCCCTTGGGCCGGCCGCAGCCGCAGCGGGAGAAGCCGACGCTGATCGGCGAGCACGAGCGCGAGCGTGACAAGGATCGGGAGGCGGGGAGATGGGTTCGTCCGGGGTTAAGACCAAAAGAGCGAGTGGGAACGCCAGGAGTGGGTTGAGTTGAAACCTCTCGCTGCCCTTCAAAGCAGCCCAAAGAAAATTCCCTCGAAAGAAAAGAGACATCCGAGTGGACCCAAAGGCGGGAGAGAGAGAGAGACAGAGATGCCAAAAAGGGGATGCTGCAGCCTTTTGGTTCGTCAGAGCCAACGAGCCAACACCAACCCCCCCTCCCCCAAAACCACCCCCCCCGCCTCCACCCCCGCTTTCACAACCACGGTCAGGCATGCGGTCGGCCCTCCAGCGTGCTCTCCTCCTCTGGCGTACTCCGGCGAAGGGAGCCCCTCGCGCGCTTGGACCCTCTTGCCTCAGGCTCGCCTCAGGTTCGATTCGATCAGCGACTCGGATCGGGTTTGTCGGGCAAACCCCGGGAAACGCCCCAAGGAGTTCCTTTGACATCGTCGGGCATTTCCAGGCTTACCAACAGGGGCCCCAGAATCTGAATATGTGAGGCGGGGGGGGGGGGGAATTGCTGGTCCTTTGCATGTTCCGCCTTCGGCCAAGGACACGACATGGGTAGAGAACATTCTCACGCCCCAAGATTCAAGTTCACTGTAAAGCTTTAGCTACGGTGGGTTGACACCTGGCCACTCGCGATTTACCAGGGTCTGTGGTCCTCCATCCGTGAACTGCGCGGAGGGAATCTTAAAAGATTCCCCTTGCGAGCCAGGGCTATCCCTTAAGGAGTTTTTATGAGACCTTTGTGCGCACGGGATGCCTATTGACGGTTCAGAGTCGGTTGTTGGAGGCCTCATTGAGTGGCAAAGCTCCTTGTCCTTTGGCCTTATGCGCAGGTTCCCAGGCTCTTGAATCTCGCTTGAGCACGGCCTCAAGCGCGGTTTTTGTTTCACCCTTTCTCTCCGCGACCCTGTCATTTGAGGGTTTTTGTGATGCGGTCCTTTTCGGGTTACCAACTTTCCACCCTTCGCCGCATGCCGGGTTCCCAGCAACTCGTTGGCCAGAGACCTTGGACGCTCAAAGGAAGACAACCCCAAATCCATGAGGTAACTTGCGGGAATTTCGTGGGGGTCCGTTGTTTCCCTTGAGCAATATGTATCCAGCAGGTTTACTCAGCCGGGGCGATCCCTTGAAGGTCCCAAAGCTGCACCGGCGCGTATACGCGTGCCCGGCGTAGAAATGGGTCCACAGGCAACCGGCTGGTTGCGGCCTTTCGCGTAGGCCGACCATGCAGTGACGTCTTCAGCAAGAGCTCCTTCCCACCGAAGCCCTTCAATCTTCAGGCGGGGTGCCGTTCGCCTGCTGAGAGCGACTTTGGACATCTAAGTAGCATGGGCAAACGTATTAGTGACAGCATTTGTCATTTATAAGCTTGTGTTTGTTCATCGTCTTTCATCCTCGGGATTTGATGCGATTGGGACTTTAGGGAGTCGTTTTGCCAAGAGTTATTGGTGCCCTTGCAGATTTAGGGCGGCTTTTATTAGCCTGGAACATCAGTGCAAGATCTTGCAGTTGAAGCCAAATAGTATGGTCCACTATAAATTGCATGCGCCCGTGTGTGTGTGTGTGGGTTGTGTGTGCGCTTCTGTGCGTGTGCGCTTCTGTGCGTGTGCGCTTCTGTGCGTGTGCGCTTCTGTGCGTGTGCGCTTCTGTGCGTGTGCGCTTCTGTGCGTGCGCGCTTCTGTGCGTGCGCGCTTCTGTGCGTGCGCGCTTCTGTGCGTGCGCGCTTCTGTGCGTGCGCGCTTCTGTGCGTGCGCGCTTCTGTGCGTGCGCGCTTCTGTGCGTGTGCGCTTCTGTGCTTGTGCGCTTCTGTGCGTGTGCGCTTCTGTGCGTGTGCGCTTCTGTGCGTGTGCGCTTCTGTGCGTGTGCGCTTCTGTGCGTGTGCGCTTCTGTGTGCGCTTCTGTGCGTGTGCGCTTCTGTGCGTGTGCGCTTCTGTGCGTGTGCGCTTCTGTGCGTGTGCGCTTCTGTGCGTGTGCGCTTCTGTGCGTGTGCGCTTCTGTGCGTGTGCGCTTCTGTGCGTGTGCGCTTCTGTGCGTGTGCGCTTCTGTGCGTGTGTGCTTCTGTGCGTGTGTGTGTGTGTGTGTGTGTGTGTGTGTGTGTGTGTGTGTGTGTGTGTTTGTGTTTGTGTTTGTGTTTGTGTTTGTGTTTGTGTTTGTGTTTGTGTTTTTGTTTGTTTGTGTGTGACTTTTCTAAGCATACCCCCTTTTTAGGTTGTTTGCAGAGGAAACCAGAGGGACACGAAGCATATCCTAGGTCCCCCAATCAATGCTCTTTGACCCTTTTTGGGGGAGGGTTCCCCTACTAGAATAGACTACAGAAAAACGGGTACCCTGATTCGAAGCTCTATAGTGGAGGACCTAGTTTACATTTGATGGCCATTGGTTGGAAAACTGCTAAGAAGATGATATGTTTCAACTAACTGGGACAAGTCACCCATGGTCCTTTGGGGTTGAAAGGCGATCCTTTGTGGCTACGCTTGCTTGAAATGCGATCCTGGATATCTTTGCTGCGGCCTCTCCGCCAGGCTGCGTCCGAGGCAGCGAAGGACGGACGGGCGCTCGCGGCGGAGCTGGCTGGCCAGCCGAAGGATGAGCCAGAGGACAAGACGCAGCAGCTCGGCGTGCGGAACACACACGGGGTGCGAAACGCTAGTTGCATGATTTGTTGCTAGTCTGGTTGATTTGTGCGTTTTGCTTTAATGGTTTTGTTATGTTTTGTTCTATGGTGTGTTTGTTGTTTTTTGTATCTTTCTTCCTTTCTTTCTTTCTTTCTTTCTTTCTTTCTTCCTTTCTTCCTTTCTTCATTTCTTCCTATCTTCCTTCCTTCCTTCCTTCCTTCCTTCCTTTCTTTCTTTCTTTCTTTCTTTCTTTCTTTGATTCTTTCTTTGTTTCTTTCCTCTGTTTCCTCTGTTTCTTCTGTTTCTTTGTTCCTTCGTTTGCGTGGTGCTTGCACTGGCTTCCATGCCTGGTTTCCTGCGACAAACAAAGTTCGGGAAAACCCATTCACTCGGAACCAAAGAGCATGCCCCCTGAAGCCGTTTTTTTTCTTCTTCTTTTTTAAGCACAACAAAAACACCAAAAAAAAGTACAGACAACTTCTCCGCACCCTTCGATCAAAACCTTTCAGGCTCGCTACCGCATGTGAATCTTCCCAAGACCGAGTGGCAGAGATGGGCATTGCCTCATACGACTTGGTTCAGCCCCCGCTTCTTCAGGCCTTTTCTCTTCTTCTTCTTCAGGCCTTTCTCTTCAAGCCTTATCCTTTCCTTTTCTCTTCTTCAGGCCTTTCCTTTTTGTGAACGCCTGGCTTTCTTCCGGGGAAAAGCGGGGGAGAGAGGAAAACTTGAAGGCACGCGGGAAACAAGAACCCCCTTGGGGTTCGGCCCGGCTTTTCCACGTGAGGCTGTTGCTTGAGGCTCGGTGAGCCCTTTTGGGGTCGGCGTTGGTTTTTTTTTTAGGGTTTGGGGTCGGCAAGCCTCGTCGGCCAGCCTCGTATGGGGGGGGGGAGTCGCTTGCCCGACGAGTTGGGAGGAAGAAGGCGCAGGCGGTCGCCTCTCTGCAGCGGCTCTTCTTCGAAGAGCTGAAGGCGGGAAGTCCCTCGGATCGGCGCGGCTCGGAGACATTTCCATGGAGCTGGAGCTGCCCGTTGGCGTTTCGGACTACGTTGTGTTATTTTCCTTAGTGGAATGTTCAAACTTTGTTTCCCTGTTGGTTTTAGTAGTATGTTGTTTCCCCCCTGTTGTTTTTTTTTTTTTTTTTTTTTTTAATTGGAATCTCCATGAATCTTGAGCTCTGAGGGTCCCGGCCATGCGGTTCCAGAAAGCTTTTGGAGTGGTGTTCGCTTGGTTTGGTTGGGTGTGAGCTGAACTGAAAGTTAAGCCTGCAGAGGATCTGACTGCCCAAAGGAGATGGAGTTTCTCAAGAGGAGCATCGGTCTAAAGCTAGGTTGGTTGCCTTTGAAGCTGGCTCCAGGCGTTCATGGTTGGTTTGCTTTGGTTTGCTATTGGCTTCCTTTTCGTTGTCTGTTTCCTCTTGGCTGCCCATTGAGTCAAACACCGAAAGACAAGGGGGGTCATAAGCATCGGCATTGGTGTTCTTTGTCGGTTAGTTTGGATAGAAATAGCTGTCCATGCAGGGTTCCCAAAGTTGGCTGTTTCCATTTATCAGGGCCATCTATCAATTTTTCCAAAGGTCGCCCATGGTCATGAGCCATGTCGAGAAACTCCCCAAATCGGCCGCCGAGCCCATGGTATAGGCCCCCAGGATCTCAATATACTTTCATTTACCCTGATGGGCCAAAGGGTGAGACAGAGGCGTATAGCATGTCCATGTATTAATATTTATATGTATAGATAGATGTGCACTAAATGGGGGTTGTCAAACTAGTGGATAATCAAACGACAAGACTACATGACTTATAACTCATAATGATTATAGGTGGAGCAGGGTTGGCCGACTTGTAACCATAGTGACTACTTGGAGTTTGAACATCCAAGTAGGTTCCTTGTTTTTTGTGAGACCTCCTTTTGTGAAGGGTTTTGAAAGGCAAGCAACAGGACATTTTTGGATAGTGTTCTGCAATGGGTGCATGTCTTCAGGTGCCCCTTGTTGGTTGGTTCAAAGATGTGTTCAAAACAGAAGGGGACCAGCCATTTTCTGGGCCCCTACTTTTGGGATAAACCCTCACTTGCCCAAAGCCAAAAGCAAACCAATGCAAAACCAACCATGAACGCCTTGGGCCAAGCGCTTAAAAGGAAACTCTTTTTTTTTTGACCGAGGTTCCTCTTGAGAAATCCCTTCTCGAGTCAATATAGCTTAGCTGAGAGAAGGGGAAGCTGCTCTCCAACCCACTGCCACGGAACCCACCAGCAGGTCGCTCGGAGATTTTACCTGATCCTGATTTATTCGGAGTGTTTTTTTTGGATTTGTTCCAAAAAACGTCATCCTAAATCCTTATACCCGTATGGTTTTTTGTGGTATGGCTGCCCCACTGCAGACTGTGGATTCGGATCCCCGGATCCCCACCCATTTGTTCCATGCCATTCGCATGGACCAAGGTGAGGTAGCCAAAGGGTACCAACAGAAGGCACGAGTTTCTTCTTTGGTGCATTTTGCTTGGCTGTAGGACTTTAACTTTTGCCAACTAATGGGTTTTCCACTAAACCACTAAAAGTTAAACTTTTAGCAGGGGAGCAGAAAGCAACCGAGATTGTCAAGTCTTGCAGTCGGCTGTCCGCAATCCTGCAGAAATCCTATGAGACAACATCCTTCCAAAAAGATGCTCAGTCCGATTTCCGGAGCCCGTTACGCCGTTGCGGGACACGAAATGGGCATGGGTCAAACTTAAACCACCAGGGGACCGCAGGTTGTAGTCATTGTTTCCATTCCCCAGGGTGCCATTTAGGGGTTACCCTATTTTTGACCCACACCCAACTGACACCCAGACCAGCGGGGGAAACGCCGCCCTCAGCGGGGTTTTGGGTCGGTCCGGTCCCATCACGCGCGTCGACGCGGATGCGGACGCGAGGGCTGCGGGGATCGCAACGCCGCCGCCGCCACGGCGCTGCGGCGGCTGGCAGAGGAGGATGGGCACCGCGGCCTGGGTGGGGGGCCTCCACGGCCCGAGTTCCGAGGTCAGAAGGCGCTTTTTGGTTTTTTGTAGGAGCCCAAGACCCTAAATATGAGGCCCATCAAGCCCCAAAGGCCTCAAACAATAAGGTCTTGGGCTCCTAGGGCATGACCATTTTATGCGGAACATGACACGTTTGGACTCTTGTTTGGTGCTTTTTTTGGGGCTTGGGCACGCCACTTTGAGTGGTGAATCAACCGTTTGGGACCTGTTTTTGGCCGACCCGAGTGGTGGCCCGGACCTTTTGGAAACTTCGTTGGCCCTCCTCGCTCCCGGAGTTCGGACCTAGTGACTTTTTGGGTTTGGGCATGCCATTTGGGTGGGGTGGTGGGGTGGGGTGGGGTGGGGCGGGGTGGGGTTGGGTGGGGTGGGGGTGGGGTGGCGGGTGGGGTGGGGTGGGGGTCTTTGTTTGACTTTTTCTGGCCACTCCACTGGGTTGGTTGAGTCTCCATTGAGCCTACCGAAGGTTCAAGGACCGTTTTGCTCAGGGCCTTTCGGAAGGAAGTACAAGCCGGCCCGTTGTTTTCCGAGATGTTTGGGTGCCAAAATAGCCCCCCAGGATTCAGTTTCCCCAAAGCAAGGGCCAAACACACGGTGGACAATATGCATTTCTGCTTCGTGCGGTTTTTTCCGGACCCCTTTGGTGTGGGCGCGTGTTTTTTGTTCGGAAGAGTTAGCGACATTGTGTGCTTGTTTGCCAAGGGGAGGCAAAAGGCCACCCATGTTGAGATGTCTTCCATTTCGAGGGACCTGGCAAGGGGCCTGCTTTCAAGTAGCTATCTGCTGTGAGAGTGGCAGGTGCTCAGGTTTAGATCGAGATGTTAGGTTTTCCCTTTGCTTGTCATGCAAACGATCAGTCCCTGAGCCTTCTCTTTGGTTTTGTTGGTGTTCTTCCGTTTTTCATCCATTGCTTTCCCTTGGGGGCAAATCGCAAGCTTGGCTGTTGAAACACGCTGCGCGCAGTGTGCGCGCCGGTGTGTTTGTGTGTGTGTGTGTGTGCGCGGCTGTGCCTGCGTGTATGTTTGTGTCTGTGCTTGCTTGCCTGCCTGCCTGCTTGCCTTGCTTTGCCTTGCCTTGCCTTGCCTTGCCTTGCCTTGCCTTGCTTTGCCTTGCCTTGCCTTGCCTTGCTTGCTTGCTTGCTTGCTTGCTTGCTTGCTTGCTTGCTTTGTCCTGGTTTGTTGTTTGTCTTGTTTGCTTGTGTTTTGCTTGATTGTTTGGTGTGCGCGCCTGCGTGCGTTTGTGCCCCTTTTGTGGATGCTGGGGGGCCTCCATCTTGGCCCCCGCTGGACTAGCGCCATCATACCCATTCTCGCTGGATTGGTCTACTTGTCCATTTGTGTGTGTGTTTTGGCTGGGGCTTCTACTAAACTGGGCAACAGCCTAAGACCTGCTGAGGATCACTTGCCCTTGAAGAGGCCGCAGTGACTGGCAACTTAGCTAGGACGGAGCAGTCCGCAATCCGCTTGCCATGTGGGTCGCCATGAAACAAAGCAGCAATACCTTGCAACAGAAAAGAAGCCAGGACTCAGGTGCACCATGGGCCATGTGGCAAGTTTCTTGTATGCCTGGCTTTTGAGCGAAGCCTTGGATCGTGGCCCCTGGTTCAGGGCACATCTTGTTGCAGCTCGCACGCCATGTTCTCAATAGCCAGGTGCCATAGACACATGCCAAAGTTGAAAGGTTGGGTTCCTGATGACCATCCTTTAGCAGATTGTTTCTGAGATAGGTGCCCCAGCGCTAAGGCTGACACTACAGACACAGGCTTCAGAGCCCCATTTGCCCAGTTTTGGCGCAGAGGCACACTGAGTTTCACTAACATTTGGAATTGCACAAAGGAATTCGTCTGCGGATGCCTGCAATATGCTCAGACGATGCTTCCCCTTGCACCGCTTGAGCAGTGCTCCGTGCTGTAGACGCTGGCAGAGTCATAGCGTTTTTTACTGGTCAGCCGCCTTGGACAAAGATGCTCGCTTCGGAGCTGCTCTTGGGTTGGTTGGGGGGGGGAGCTTCTGATAGCTTCGATTTCACACCCTCAGCAGCAGCTGAAAGCATGGGGTGTCTCTGGTCAGATAAGCTCCGAAATTGGCTCTGGGAAAGGTTTTGGGGTTTGCTGTTGGGCTTATTTTTGGAGTCTACGTGTACGTGTGCCACTGTTTGGATTTGTGCCTTCCATTACATCAAGATTTGGCTTCACACAGGGGTCCAATACTGTCTGTAGGACATAGGACATTTTTGAGGGTCATGGTTTTCAGCACAGTCGGCCAGTGCTGTTGTCCATGTTGAGTGACGGCCACCCCATGTGTTGAGGGCCTAAAAAGAGGTGAAGCACGGGCAACTACACTCACTCTCTTTGGAAAGCCGAGGATGGACAGCAGCTTTGAGCAGGACCTTTGCTTCTCTGCACCCTGGAGCGGGGTGAGGGGTGAGAGGGGGTGGGGGGACCGACAAAATCGATGATGAAGGTTCCTGTCTTGTAAAACCCCTTGTTTGGATTCAGGCGGGATAGTCGGGCCGCCATGCACACGCGGTGTTCAAGCCCTTAAATACATGACCCTTGAAAGCATGTGATCAGCAAGAACACTTTGGCCGTGCTTCCTGATACCCCTCCCACCCATTAACATGGAACCTGACAGGGGGTCCCTTTAGAAGGAAAATGGTCCAAACCAGGACCCCCCCAAACGTCATGTTCCATGTTAATTGGTGGAAGGGTAAATCTTTGCCTTTCTGATTCAGTTGTTTCTTACCGGCGCCTTCCTCAGCTCATTCCCCTTTTGGGTTCTCTTATGCCTGAAGTGGTCGGCCAAGAGCGAGTTGTCGATGGGGCACCGAATCAAAATAGTGGGGAGTTGGTGAAATATGATGCTTCACCCGGTTGAAAGAGGCCATGCTCGAAGCGCTTGTAGGATTATGAGCGAATGTTCAACTGAAAGTGGCCAGCTTGGTGACTTGGAGACCCTGGACTAGCAGCAGGCAAGAAAGTGCGCCGCATTTCTCTGTTGCTACTTGGTTGGATCTTCGGACTTGAGCATTCTGGTTGAAACACCCGTGGTTTTCACTTGGACCCACAAAAAGTTGAACACTTTTTGCAGAGGGGTCCTTGCAGCAGCAACCAAGTTTTGGAGCTTTCAAGCGAGCCATGACCCATCAATAGGCCAATTTAGTATCTTCTACCTGGTTCCATGGGGGTTAAACCCTGAAACCCTGAACTTTTACAGCCGTCAAACAAAACATCAGGTTTCGGGTGCCGCTCGTTTGCGTTTTGATGTTCAAGCAGTCGCGACTGGTGAACATCTGTGGTTTATTTGTCATGCCAGGCTGCTCAGGCCCAATGCTTAGCATGCTGGCCCAGAAGAAGCTACCCTGCCAAAAACAAGCATAGAGCCTGCACAGGGGTTCCTACAAGACCCTGTTCATTTCAAGGGAGCCTTTGTGGGGGTTCTATTTTTTTTTGTTGTTTTTTTTTTTGGGGGGGGGGAAAGCTACCAAGACACCTGTGAACTCGCAGCAAAAGGGCAACCGCTAGGTTTGCCTCGCCTCTGAGCTTCAGACTGAGGTAAGCTTCATGAAGCCTCCTCGGAGCCGTTTGGGCGGCACTTGGGGGACGGGGGGGAATGCTTGCGGGGCCTCAGGATGGGCGCTGGGTACTCGCCACCATTTCTGGGGAATGAGGGGACCCCTCAAAGAGGGTTTCTCCAAGAAGCTGGGGTTTATGTAGTCTGCCGTCAGACTCCAAGAGTCAAGCTAGGAATATCTGTCTTTTTTGGAGGGTACCCTGTTTGTTACCTCTTTTTTTGTGGTTTCAAAGGGCAAGCAAAAGGCACATCTTCATTTTCAGGGGTCCGAACCCACCGAAGGCTACAGCCTGGCTTGCGATCGCCATGAGGCACCGGCAGAGTGCGGAAGCAGATCGACCATTCGTGGCCCGGCGTGAGGATTGCTGGTTTCTTTTCTTGCTGGTGTGATAGGTGGGGAATGGGACATGGAGCGAACCTGAAGATTTTCCCGAAGAAAGGAAACCGCAAGGGATGGGTTACTTCCGTTTGCGTAAGTTTTTTTTTTTTATTTTCCCCGGTTGGGTTTAAAGGGAATCTATCACTACTGGAAATATTTTCTCATTTTTTCAGGGGTCTTAGCCAAATGCAAGGTTATAAGGGTCGTTCCCTCGTTGGCTTCATTGTTTGAGGGCAAGGACTCTTCTGGCGCCCTGCGGTGGAACTGCCACCGGCTTCACGTTCGAAGGGGGCCACTGTCCAAGCTCTCTGCCATAGGCACGGGGGAGACATGGCGGAGGTCCAGCAAGTCTTGGCGCCTGCAAGGCTGGGGTGGCTGGCGCGGCTGTTCAGGAAGTGATGCGCTCACTTCGCTCAATCTTGCGGGGGAGACCCTCGGGCCCAACGTCAAGGCGTTTCCGGGAATCTGTAAAGTCTGTTGACCCCCAATTAATCAACTAATCAACGCCTGTTTATTAGTGGAAGGGGTGTCAACCTGGGTTTAGTGGGGGATCAGACCACTTCTGGTGACTTTTGAAGGGGAACGCCCCCAGATTGATGAACTGGGGTTGATAAGTAGGTCCCCCAGTAGTGCCCTTTTGCCGGGAGGGTTCCCCTACTAAAATAGACTGTAGAAAAAAGAAAGGGTACCCTTATTCTAACCTCTCTACTGGAGGACCTAGAGAAATCTGGGGTCAAGGGACGGCCTCGCGGGCTTAAACTCGGCACAGGCCGAGCGAGAGCTTGCGCCACTCCGGGCTGGCGACGGCCCGCACTCCACGGAAGCGCTTCGGCTGGACGGGGGAAAGAGGAAGCCCCTCAATGTCTTCCATTTGCTGAAATGAATATGTGTTTATTTTCCCATTGATTTTAAAAGGAATCTCTCACTAGATGTTTTTTGTTTTTTAGATGTTGCAGGACGAAAAAGCAGATGGAGGATTCACAGGGCTTGGCTTTTTGAGGGTGCCGTTTTTTGCATATGGACTTGTAGGGATGCCGGCAGAAAACCACTTACCACTTTTTGGGGCTCCATTTTGAGCCGAGCTCATTTCCCTCTTTGGACCTAGAGCAGTGGTAGTTTCATGGGAACCCACTGGTAAGTGCCAAACCGTTCTCAGGGAAACCAGCCCAGCAGCAGCCGTCAAGTCCCTCACAGGTTGCAACTTCTCTGGGTCAGGGCTTGATCAAAAGCTTTGCGATTCCGCCTTGCAAGGTGATGCTGGAAAAGCAAGCAGGCATCCTCAGTCAGTGCTCCCATGAAAATTTGCATGCAGCATTAAATTAAGAGGGGTCCTAGAAATAGGGTGCTTTCGGGTTGTCTTGTTGAATGTCAGGGGGGAACGTGCTTGGCCCCCAAGCACGCCCCCCCCCTACACACACACACACACTCAGACTATGTTATATTTTCTTCGGTTGGTTTTAAAAGCAATCTGTATATATATATATATATCTATCGCTACGGGACCACTTTTTCCTAGGCGACTTGAGCAAATGGAAAAAAAACCAAAAGCACAGCAGACCATCGCAACTTCTTCGGCCCAGCCGCCGCGCTCGCGCTATCGCACGCGAGCTCCGAGGCATTTGAGCGGCATGACGCCCTTCCGTTGATCGGGGCAGTGGGTGAAGCTGCGGCCGGCGGCGTGTTTTTTTCTTGGGGACCTCCTTTTTCGGGAATCCTCTAACTTCCCCAGAATTAGCTCCCCTTTTGTTCCCCACCCGACAGGAAGGGGTTGTTACATTTTATGTTGGAATCCGCGTTTGCGATGCTTCTACACCACGCCCCCACCCAGTATCCCGCCAGAGCAGCTCGCCAGTGCATCCCGCCGAGTATCTCGCCAGAGTAGCTCGCCAGTGGATCCCGCCGAGTATCCCACCAGAGCAGCCCGCCAGTGGATCCCGCCGAGTATCCCGCTGAGTATTCCAGAGTAGCTCGCCAGTCCGCCGCGTATCCCGCTGAGTATCCCTTGCCGGCGGATCCTGCCGAGTATCCGGCCAGTATCGAGCCGGAGCGGCTCGCCAGCATTCGCCAGCGGATCCCGCCAATATCCCGCCAGAGCACCTGGTCCTCTTGAAGGAACCACCTGTGAGGCGCCATGTGCTTTCCATTTTGTAGGATCAGGTTTCCCTTATTGCCCTTAGTTGGTGGCTTGGATTGGTGGTTTGGGGATATGAACCCCTGGTTCTTGCAGAAGGTAAATGGGAAACCACTCCTCAACCACCAAACCACCAATCCAAACCACCAATCAGCTGACTTTTGGTTGGTTTGTGAAGGGAAAGCCAAAGAACACGGATTTGGGGGGTCCTATTTTGACACAATGGGCTGGTGGTTGGGCACCTGTTTTTCGGCATGTGGCAACGTGACTCCGCAGCCCTGGAGTTTCGCGGTAGGCAATTGCAGTTTGAGCTCTGGTCTTACGCGGGTGCTGGCGCAGAATGGCACTGGGGGGTGGAAGCAATCTTGCCGGCACTTTTTCTTTGGCCTTGTGCAGTTCATTGGCACCCTTTCCCTTTTAAATATTGTTGGCTAGGTTCCCCACTGAAAATGTGAGAATGCGGACAACCCCAACACGGCCCTCTTTCAACATAGCTCATGATTTTTTTGCAGAAAGTCCGTCGACGGCGCGCAGTTCCCAGCAGTGACGGCTAAGCCCTCGTTGCTGGTGCCTGGTGAAGTCGGGGCTTCTCAGCGTCCTTTGCCACTGGACGTTGGACTTCACTCTTGGGCCCCCATTTGACCTACAGGACGCCTGCACCCTACGTCTTCCCAAAGGTGCAGGTGCATGCCTTTGTTTGACCAGGGCTGTTTGACATGGCCGTCTTGCCATTTCGTAAGGGTCGGGCGGTCGGGGTCGCAGTTTTATCAAGCTCTTATTACAGGGTTAATAAGGGATCCCCCCTCCCCATAGCTTAGGGGTCCATGAAAAGGTGCAGTTATGAACAGAGGGCAAAGTCATGGAGATGGGCGATCGGTTGGTTCCTCTGACGCTTCCTGTGCCTGCATGCAAGGCTGGCCAAGAGGGCCGCACTCTTGATGCGAGCGCGAAGACCGCGCGGGAAAAGGGAACGCCTCGCGAGTGGGCCGCTCATTTCCAGCGGGCTTCTTAAGTCTGTTGGGGGTGATTTCGCTTTGATATTCTTTGATGTCATACACTGAGGGACGTCGCCTTTTAATGGACCCAGAACTGGGATATTCGGCTCCCAGCAGCTGGGAGAATTTGGAAGCGTAGGCCAGAATGGCTTTGATGATAGAAAACTTTCGAGTGTAGGGCTGTAGCCTTTGTATGAAGTTGTGGTCCCTTCCGACGTTCATGTTCAGTTCCGGACTTCACTGAATGGTCTTCCGTCAAGGGTTAGGCTCTTAGCGCAGCCTGCAGTGTCAAGATCTCGGTTGCCAAGTTGCCGCGCATGGGCCGTCAAGGCGTTTTCCATTCAGCGCTTTGCACCGTGTCGCCTCCAAAGCAGAGGCTGATTCAGTCGCCTTTCGGAGTTGTAACCAGTGAGCTCCGCAAACCAGCCACACGTGTTGGCGTGTTGCATGGATGGCGCAGCGCTTCTGCAAGGCCCCATCGGCAAAAAAAGATGTCGAGCTCCACCCTCACGTTGATGTTTATCTATCGAAGGTTTGGGTTACAGGACATTCTAGCGGAAAACAGCTGATCTGGGATGTTGTGCGCCATTTCCTGTAGTTTTTTTCCCTGTAAAACCCTTCGAATCTAGCCCCTCCCCTCCCCAGCCCGAGCCCTGCCCAAAGCCACCGGCGTGCGCCGTGCGATGGCTCATGGCAAAGCACCGCAAGAGCGGCTTCGCGGAGACGCCCCTGGCGGCCGCTCGATTTGAGTCAAGTCGCGCCGAGTTGGGACTTGGGGAAGGCTGGGAGGCTTGAAGCAGTGTCCACTGATGGCTTTCTCTCAGACCTCAACATGGATAGTTTCCTTTCTCTTTCACAAAGAACGAAAACCAACAAAAAGTCAGCACGAAAGGGAGGGAGCCTCCTTGCTGGGTCTTTACCTCCTGAGGTCGGCCTGCTCCTGCTGCTGAGCGGTGTGTCCTGTTTCCTGGTGGTGGCCCCTTGGCCGACGCTGAGCGCATGGGCTCATGGGATACAGGTTTGATCCCTGGGTGTGGGTGGCTCGTCTCCTTTATCTTTGGGAGGGGTCCCCCCTTTTTCGTTTTATTTGTTGGAGGCTTTTTTTTTGGAGGGGTCCTCCCTTTGTCGGTGTTTTCTTTTTTTGAGGAGCCAAGAGGAAGCCGCTAGGATGCACCCATGTATAGCCGTCCCCACCTGGATGGTGGGGGGGGAGTTGCCATGTTTTCAGAGCGTTCTACGCCTTCGAACCCAGGTGCTGCACAGGGCCGGGTCCCTCGACCAGGCCAGGCCGTTTTCGGGGGCTGAACTCCGCACCCGGTTTTTTTTGGGAACAGGGTTCCACTTTTTGACCCCTGGATAGATCTGAAACCCGCAGTTAATTCCCTTTTGGCGGGGATGAACCACCCAAAAGGGTTAAAGGGAAGTGTACCCGTACCCTGAGGTAGTCAGACAGTAGACTCAGTTGTTCAGCGGCACCTCTCTTTTTTTCCGGTGGCTGCCCCACTAAACAAAAAGGGTCACTGAACAACTGAGTAGAACCCTGCAATGGAAAATCGGTGCGTTGTGGGGGAAGGGGCGGGGCAGTGGCTTCATGGCCTGACACCTACGCAGGACGCGCGGAACCAAGATTCGGATCCCTGGAAAGAATGGGGAAGTGCCCCCTAGAACTCCTCTTTTCGGCTGTGGCCACTCTCGGAAGCCATCCATTTCCTTGCCCACATGAGGACCGCGCGGATGGTGATGATCTGTCCACGGTTTCGGGAAGATTTGGAAAAGCTGTCAACTGGAAACTTGGTTTGGGAAAGGCATGAGCTAGTGGGGGAAAGGCAGCTGGGGACCGATCTGGTATGATTCTCGCAAGCCACAGTGCGTGCCCTCGCTTTTTTCACCAACCGGGGTGTGGGTCAAAAATAGGTACCCTAAATGGAGCCCTGGCAAATGGAACCAATGACTAACATTTGTGGTCTCCTGGCTTAGTTTTGACCCATAATGTTGACCTCGGATTAATAACCCCCTGTTTATTAATATCTGGGTGTTCCCCTGCAAAAGTGACTTAAATCCCCACTAAAACCAGAATCGGAGACCCCCAAATGAATAAACAGGGGTTTGTTCATCCGGGGTCAACATTACCCATATCCAAATTACCACATAATCTTCCCCCAGCAGTGAACATCCCAATCCCCACCAAAATCGGTTCTAAAACGGGTGGTGAACTCACCGAAACCCCCAAAATGGGATCCCAAAACGGTTTTGACCACCACGGCCATCTCCAAATCCACCGGCCGCTAGGCAGCACAGGTCATCCACCGGCTTCCGCCCGCGGAACCGGGTGGAGCGGCTCAGAAAGCGCGGACGAAGGCGCCCGCCCTGCCGCCCCGCAAGGGTCTGTCGGCGGTGGCCCGGCAAGGAGCGGAGGGGTGGGGTGGGGCGGGGGTGGGGGGGCGTGGTGGGGAAGGGGTGTGGGGTGATGGGGGGGGGGAGTGGGGTGGGGGTGGGGTGTGAGTCGAGAGTTGGCAAGTCACCACCATGCCTGCCTGTTCTTGGTGGTTCCCGGCTCGGGTTCAACTTAGTTTTGAGAGGTTTTTAGTTGGTTTAGTGGTTTGGTTCCGAATCTAAGCCACAAGGGTAAGCTTTTAGCAGGGGAGGATGAACCAAGAGATGCGAACTTCTCATACCCAGTGCTTCCAGGCGTTTCGCCACAAGAGTAGGCAACTCTTCGGTGTTGTTACCTCTATAGGTTTTACCTCATGGCTTGCCCTTACTGTAAAACTTGCTTGCCGGAAGGAAGCGCCGTACCTTGAAAACGATGAGCTCTTCTGCGCCTGGAGTTGATTGTTGGACAGATCCCGGTCTGAGAGCCTTTCAGTCGCGATGTGAAACCTTTGCACATGGAAGCGCAGTGGGTTGACCTTTCCAAGGTTTCGTCCCTTCCCTTTTTAGCGAATCGACCTGTGGACCTTGTGGTTTTCCCGTTTTGGTCCATGTTTAGTCGAGGTTTCAAAAGGTGAACCCTTTCTTTCCGGTGGCTGGGCACTCCGTGGGCTCTGCGGTCTTCTTGCCCAGGCTCTCGCGGAGCGGTCCGTGTGCAGCGAAACGGCGAAACACAAGCGCATGCAATCAGCACACATGGCACAGGCTAATTTAGGAGTGCGGCAGGCCCGGTCGCAGGCCAACATCGGAGCTGCTCTCCAAACGTCGCTTCTTCCGTTGCAATTTGGCTTCCACTCGTCAGTGCAAACGCCAATCTCAAGATGAGTACTCTAAGACGAGCCGTTTCATAGGTAGCAAATGTACGTATAGTAATGTATTCATAGCTGAGATATACTAATAATCCGATGGATTTTTGACTTTTCAAAATTAATAACTCAATAGTAGATGTTCTTTCTATATTGATTTTTGCCTGCTTTTGTCTTGCTTGTCCTAGCTTTCGTGGTTCGGCTTCAGTTGTGCAACTGTCCTTGTTGGCCTGCCCCATCCATCAAGGCCTCAGGGTCCATGTATTGATGTACACAGTAGACAGGCCAAAGGGAAGCTTACCATGGCACATCAATTTTGGTTGTTAACCCCCAAGATAGTCAGATTTTAGACCTAGGGGTACATAAGCCACCACTTGTGGTTCTCCTCTTGGTTATTTTTTTGGGGGGGGGTTACCGTTTGGGGTACATCAACCATGGGATCCTATGGCTCAGGGCCTCTCAGGTCATTGCAGTGCCAGGGGGGCGGCTTGCCCCGTCCCCCTGCGGGGAGAAGGGCGGCTTGCTGGCCAAGAGTGTGGAGGCGCGCGAAGCGATGGAAGCGATCGAAGCTTTGCCCGGCCGGGAGGTTTTTTTTCTAGGTCCAGCAATTGGTGCCCTGCTCCGCCCTTTCTTTTTTGGTTGGGAGGGTTCCCTTGCTAAAATGGACTACAGAAAAAAGTTGGTACCCTTATTCTAACCTCTCGACTGGAGGACCTAGTTCAGGTTCGGAGGTTTGGTGCTGGGCGGCTCAAGGTCGCATGGTTGGTTTGGACGTGGCGGCGACTTTCAGGGGGGGAAGAGTCTCAGAAAATGGCTCTTCGAACATGACCCCCCCCCCCCCCTGTTTTGTGAGTGTTATACATGCCCACCGAAGCCTCCCCAATGAATATTGCACGTGTGACGCAAGAGCACTCTGCCCCCGGCGTAAGGGGTGCGGCATCTCCAGGCGAATGCGGTAGATTGACATTGATTGCAAACCCCTGACATATTTCATTGGTTTCTGAGGGTTGGGGGGGAAGGGTTGTTTTTTCTCGAATGCGCGGCAGAAGGGTTAAAGGTCGGGGTCCTGGGCATCAGGAGTTGACCCGCACTCGTGCGTGTGACCTTCGTTCGTGTTCGTAAAACGTCCGTAATCCCCTGTCTTCAGAAGACGTCGCAGTTGTCTTTTCGTTGGTTTGGGTGATGTCTTTCGGATGACTTCGGAAGCTGTCTTAGCAGCATGCCTTTGGGGGGATGTCTTTGGCAGAGATGCTTGTGGGCGCTTTTGCGGTTGTCTTGGGCTGTGTCTTGAGGGCTGGTTTTGGAAGGTGTCTGCCCGGGTCAAGTGGATTGTCTTTGGACGACGCTTTTGCACTTGTTGTGGGCGATGTCTTTGGGGATGCCTTTGGAGAGTGTCTTTGCGATGTCTTGCGCGTTTTGGTTTTAGACACGTCCACGTTGTGCTTGTTGCTGGCTCGGAGTTTTTTTTTGGCGGCCGCCTTGGGACGTGTTTTTTGGGGACCCTGGGGACTTCTCAGCGAGCTGCATTTTGCACAGGGTTCCCAGGGTTGGTTTTGAGCCGCTGTGAAGGAGCTTGAGGTCCAACAGTTGCCCGAATTCAGCGCTCGCCTCCCCAAAGGCGCTGCTGGAGTCTTCCAGTGAGCTGATCGAGATCATCGTGGTGGAGGATCCGAAGTTCCCGTGAAGCACGGGAGGCGGTGGTTTCCAAAACTTTGGGGCCCAGCCACTTAAGGTTTGGCAGCTATGCTTCTAGCTCACCTTGCAGGCTTTCAGGTGTTGTCTAGCTTGTTCAAAACCTAGTCTCCCGCAATCTGCTGTTTGGTGGATTCTCGTTGCTCCAGCAGAAGGCCTTGACCCACAATGTGCAGCAAGGATTACGCGGGTTGCGGATTGTGATTGGGCACCCCGAAGTTTCGAACAGGCTTGACTGCCTCTTTGCAAAGGTCGCTTCTTAGGTTCTGCGCTGCGCGTGTTTCTCGCGCATGTGTGACAGGGGCCCTTGCTGATCGCCTAAGTATCCCGCACCATTGCTCCTGGCGGCGCAGTTTCTCATCGACGCGGCAAGTTCATGTTGACCTCATATGAATATCTCCCAGGTTACTAATGGGGTGATGTCCGATTCTGGCTTCGGTGGCGAATCAGGCCACTTTTGGAGGGGAACGCCCTCCCAATCAAAAACTGGTTGGTGGATTTGATTTGGGATCAACAATTTACCGGGCGAACAAAGGCGGGCCCCGTCAACGACACGTACGCGTCCGCGTGCGCGCAATGGCCACAGGACGGGAGCAATCCACCGCTGCCACGGCCAGACCTCACCGGCGCCATGGCAGCAACTGCCATGGTACCCACCAACAAAAAAAGGAGCATGGAGCCTTTGAATGTTCGTGTGTGTGTGTGTGGTGTGAGTTTGTTTTGCGAGGTACCCCTTTTGGGTTGACTTCAAGGGAAATCAAAGGGAACCCGCTGATTTGACATGAGACGGACGCTTGGGTCGCATGTTCTCGAGGTATGGCTTGGGAGGACCTGAAACTGCCTCGGCGGGAGGCGCGGGGGGTCGGAGCCTTGGCCGGGTCAACATTTGGGTGTGCGTTTTTTGAGGCTACCCCTTGTTGGTGGGCTTAGAGGGAAACCAAAAGGACAACTCACAGTTTTTTGGGGGCCCCCTGAAAAAAGCACCCCCCCCCCCCCCCCCCGTTTTCACCCTTTACTAAAAAGAGGGCGGAAATGGGCGGAAAAGATGTGAATCGCGGGAGTCGGGCTGAATATTGACCTATTCAGTTTGGAGGCCGTTTCAGTTTCGTTTTGGTGGCTGTTTTCTACACCAGCCTGCATTGACATGATCCTACTTGCAGGTTCGACGGTGGAGGTGACACTGTGTGTTTTGCTGGCTGTTTGCCAGCCATGCAACCAGAGCACAGGCAACCCAGGTACCGCCAGCCAACAAGCATCATTTATCTTCCCAGAAGGCAGACAGTTTTTGTTTTTTGCAACCACAAAAAGAAGAATCTGCAAAGATTGCAGTTTCAATGGAAACCACCGGTGATTTGATCAACTATTGCAACTATTGAAAGGGACAGCCGGCGCACAAAAGGCTATGCCGGGGCAAGGCAAGTCGCTCCAGCTGTTTTCGGGCCAGGAGCCTTCCGAGTTGTGGCAGGGGGTGCGCTTACTTTGGCTGCGCTTGGAGGCAGGAGCGCCCAAGCCAGCGAAGCATATATGGGTCAAGATTAAGCAACTAGGAATCGGACCGCAGGTTTGAGTCCTTGGTTTCATTTCCCAGGTTCCATGTTGGGTACCTAAATTTTGACCCACGGCCAAATGGCTGGTAACCCACTATATAGGTACCTGGGCTTCACTGTGGACTACAGTAGATGGCACAAACTCCCCACTTTGGCCCAGTTGTCTCCCCATATGGGATTTGGGGTCGGGTTGGGTGGCAGGCGCCCCAGGGCGCCGCAGCGGCGAGGGCCATGGGCGGGGATGCCGCGCGCGGGGAGGCGCTGGCGCCCTGGGCGAGTGAAGCGCGGGGGAGGGGGGTGGGCGGGGGTGGTGGGGGTGGGGGGGTGCAAGAAACATTTTGTTCAGTTTTGGGGCAGGGAGCGAAAAGACGCCAAAACGTGTCAGGGGCCACCAATCCCAAGTTTTGGAATGCTGTGGACCGAAGCCCATTAGCAACTCTTGAAGTCTTTTCGCCTTTCTGAGCGAGACGGGCCTTTCAAAGGTTGTCATGACAGAGGATTTGGGACAACGTTTGGCTGGGAGATGCAGGGTGGCTGAGGTACGGCACGCTTTCCATGCGTGAGTTGCGAGGGGCGCCCATTGTGTAAATGAGAAAGCTCTGACGTCTCAATTGTCGGAAGGGCTGCTTTTCAGACCAGACATTCTTCTGAAGTCAGGTCGCTGTAGCCTGGAACCGCTGACCTTGCTCCAAGTTGACCGCGCAAAACGAGCACACCGAGCACAACGAGCCCTCGTGCAAACCGGCGCCGAATCCCTCGGTTCCGAGCCGAGGCCTTCTTCGACTGCTACGTGAAGCCGCAAACCGGGTGGGCCGCGCCCATCCTCGAGCTGCTGCGGCAGAGGCCCAAAGCGGTGGCCTTGCCAGCGCTCGACGACCTCGATGCTGCGCGCCTCGAAGTGGGAGCTAGTGTCCGTGAGGAAAGGGGAGGTACTTTTTTTTTTTTTTTTTTTTTTTTTTTTTTTTTTTTTTTTTTTTTTCGGGGGGGGGGGGGTTGTTTCAGCGAAAACCAAAAGGACTCCCTTTTCTTTTGTTTTTTGGAGGGTCCTTCTTTTGAGGGTACTTTTTGCCGGTTGATGGAATGGAAACTAAAAGGAGGCCCGGTCCGTTTTTTTTTGGCCGAAGGGGGGGGTCGCTTAAAGATAGACACACAAACTCGAACAGGGCTCCGAGGCATATCCCAACAAGGAATTTTTAAGTGCGGCTGATGCAAGCTCAAGGTGGCACCTTCACGCCGTTCTTTCAATCCTGCACGGCTTGTTGTGGGCAGCGGGAAGCAACCCCTCTGAGTTTTTGTATGGGCCCATGTTGCGTGCGTGCGTGCGTGCGTGCGTGCGTGCGTGCGTGCGTGCGTGCGTGCGTGCGTGGGTGGGTGGGTGGGTGGGTGGGTGGGTGGGTGGGTGGGTGGGTGGGTGGGTGTGTGTGCTTTTGTTTTTTTTGCTTGTGTGTTTGTGCTTGTGTGTGTGTATGTTTGTGTGTTGTGTGTTGTGTGTTGGTGTGTGTGTGTGTGTGTGTGTGTGTGTGTGTGTGTGTGTGTGTGTGTGTGTGTGTGTGTGTGTGTGTGTGTGTTTGTGTGTGTTTGTTTGTTTGTGTGTGTGTGTGTTTGTGTGTTTTTGTGTTTGTGTTTGTGTTTGTGAGTGTTAGTGTTTTCTTTGTTGGTTTGTTGTATGTTTGTGATCAGGGAACGCAAGAGTATTAACAATTTGTCTACACACACATGTATGTATATATATATATATATATAGATGGGTGCTTATGTTCTTGGCGTGTGCTGTTTATGGATGTCTTGCCAGTTCCTGCATTCATGCGTGTAAAGAGATATATGTATACATAAGTATACATATGAACATGTATATATATATATATACATACACTGCACAAGCCGTGCTTTGCATTTCATGTGCAGGCTTTTGTTGGGGTGCACCGATGTTCTATTTGCGGGCTTTCTTCGCCTGCGGCTCAAAAAGAAAGTAAGCGTGCAGCCGAGAAGTAGGTAAGTTGGTTCCGAGACATCTAAAAGCTTTGTAATTAGTCGGTTTAGTTGTGGGGTTTAGTCGTGTTTCCATTTAACCCACAGGCCCACAAGTTATTCACTTTGCTGATCCGAAAATTCCCACGTCTCAACTCGGCTGTTTGGGGGCCTGAGGAGTTGGGAGACGTCAGGGTCGCCCCGCTTCTTCGACAACGTCTTCACTTGGGAGGCGCGGGGGGCAGATCGGATGCCGCAAGAATAAAACCCTGGTAAGTGGAAACATGGACCAAAAGCTGCGTAACCCCTGCTGTTTAATTTTGAGCCACACCCATGTGTCTTTTTTCAGGTTGGGCCCGTCCAAAAGAGCATCCTTTTTGTTTCTTCGGGCTTCCCTTTGAACCCCCAAACAAAACGGGTACCTCCAAAAAAGATAGACCCATCTGCCCTTCACTTTACCCCAGGGAGTCCTCCAATTCTCTTTAAAACCTCCAACAGGGGGGGGATCACAAGTACTGTGAATTGATCATCTTTTGAAGTGGAAATCCCGTGCCCCAAATTGAGGGGTGCCCAACTTGGCGTGCCCATTGGCCCATTAAGGCGCGACCAAGCGTCCGCCTGCCAGCCGAGTCCCTCCCCAGAAAAGGTGAGCCCTTCCAAGAATGACCGTGTCAACCCATTGAGTTTGTCTTGCACTGGGAACTGGAACTTCCCAAAATGGATGGTTTCCTTGTGGTTTCCTTGGCAATCAATGCCAAGAGGGGTACTCGCCATGGGTGAATGAACCATTTGTCCGGATGCGCACAAGCTAGCATTTGAGACCTGCCCTAGGCGGAGACAGTGCAGCTGTACTTTGACAAGGAGTCGCGTGGTTGTCAACAGCAAGGGCTGGCTTGATAGGTCTCAGGTGCCGTCAAGGCTTGATCCGCTTGGCTGAAATGGGCCGGCTGACATGAACAATCCTCCGATTTGTTGGCCATGTTTGGATTTGAGTGCCTTTCTTCCAAGTCTGCCAAGCCCCCAAGCCCCCCCTACCCTACAGTCATCCATGCCTTCTGTTGGAGTAGGGGGCTTGTTGAGTGCATCATCATGTCATGTTCAAGTCCGGGAAAGGTAAGCTCTGATGGAACCTCCCGATGGACCCAGCAAGGGGATTCCAGGTAGCACAGGATAGCCTTGGTTTAGCGATATTTCAGATATGTTCGCCTGGCTTATTGCTTCGGCAAGCGAAAAGCACAAGGCTTCTGTTGCAAGCGAAGGAGGGTTGACAAGTTGAGGCCGACATTCACCTGAGGCGCGTGACCTGGCCACATCCCATCGACCAGGGCAACGTCATGGTCTTCAGCTGGTCCTTTTGGCAACACATCGGCGGATACGACCGGATGATGAAAGGCCGGGTGAAAGGGTCACGCACCACGAGAAGTTCGTCATGGCAGATGTGGGCCATGTCTATCTTAAAGCTAGGCCCACACATCAACCAAATGGTCCAACCATGGGAAAGATCAGACAGTTGGGCACCGTCAAAAGAACAACCTCAAAGCGTTCCTTTTCCTCCCCCATGGCCCATGGGGGCTATTGGCATTATTGGCTTTTTCTCGGGTGTTGGGTGTGCTTTTTGGTCAGCTTGTACCGGGTTCAGTTTGGTGTCATGAAGTTTTTAGTTCCATGAGTGAGGAAAACGCCCCCTCGGGTCCAGCTGACCTTGCAGGCTCCTCGACCTTGCTCATCGAGAACATCGAGTGCCCCGGCCACTTTCGGTCCGATATGGAGCGCTCGCTCGGGGCCCCCGAGGTCCGAGTCGGACGGACGACTTGCGTCACGTTTTGGGTTTAGACGCCGTTTTGGTGGTCAACAGTGAGTTTAGACTGTTTTCTGGCCAATCCACTCACGAGGGTGAGATTGATTGTTGCCTGCTTTGGTTTTGCTTCTAGCTTTAATCGCTACCTCGTGCCGGTTTTAGATGTGCAACTCTCTGAGTCAGCAGGCAGATCTCTCGCATTGCTCTTCATTCCTTATCTCAAATGGGTTCGTCTCAACAGTGGGGATGCAATGTATCTGGTTTCCTTTTGGTTTCCCATTAGACCCAGGGCACCCTCAAAAAACCCACGCCGAAACAGAGATTTGAATGAACCTAGAATATCTTCGAATAGTCTCTTTGATTGGTAGCCTTTGGGCCAGTTTTTGAGTGAGCTTCTTTTGCAAAGGAGGCATGCACCCCTGTTTGCTGCGCTTCTGCTGGTGGTATTTGCCCTCCAATCGTTCAGTGCATGCCTTGTCCCTTGTCTCAGTTGCCCAAAGCCGACCATTTGACCTTTTGGTTTTTCTGACTTGGTGCATTTTCAGTCAAGAGCCCAAAACGTGTACCTTGAATATCAGGGTCCTTGAGTTCCCCCGCCAAACACTTGTTTGAATCCGCGCAACAAAAAGCACCTGAAAAACACACTTGTTTGACCCAAAACACCAAAACACCTTGAGCAACTGAGTTGTTTGCTACGTTCCCCCGCCAAACTTTTGGCCTGAGTCGGTTTGTCGGATCCTGAGGCTGTCTCTTCGAGTCCTGCTCTGCGGCGGCAGCTTTGCCCCTGTGGCCCAAAGCGTCGTTGGCTTCTGCCACAAGCCCCCCGTCTGACGCGAGAGCCACGTTTGCCACGCTCATCCGAAGCGCACATGGATTTCTATGATGTGCTCTTTTGTTTGTATGCATCATTTGCAGAATGTGAGTATGCGTGCATGTACAAAAATAAGCGTATCGCATATTTGCACACGCAAACAGAGATACATACACAGATGCATCGATTCATAGATAAATGGATACATGAAATCATCGATCGATGTGCGATACAACAATACATGGATACATGGATACAGACGGACAGACAGAGACGCAGACGGAGACGCAGAAGAGACGCCGACGGAGACAGATACAGAGACAGAGACAGACAGAAACATCTACATATATGCATGCATGCATGCATACGTTCATCAATGGATAGATACATGACATACATCACGTTATTATTATAATTATTATTTTTTGACAACATTGCATTATTCCGCAGTACATTTATTAGATACACAGCCAACACAATACACTACATATCTATATGTGTATATATATATATATGATACATAGATGTATGTACATCTTTGCATTTGTAAACGTATACATCTATATGTCAATGTGCATATGTATGGTCACCCCCTCCCAGGGCCCTGTCATTCGCATACTTGCGTGGTGTGCCTCTCTCTCTCTCTCTATCTATATATATATATGTATATGTATATATGTATATATGTATGCATATATGCGCATATAAAGCTGCAACAGACCGTCCATACCACCGTGTTGATGTTTTTTGCTGTCAGAATTTCTGGCGAACGATCCTTGACAAATGAAGCACACAGGCTATAGACCGAACACGGAGTTGTCAAAACACTGGCCCTGCCAGTGTTTTGTTTTATTCAACGCAGCACTGAACATGCATTGTGTATGCTGAACAAGGGGCCGCATCATGATTTGAATGTTCGATAGTTAAAGAGGTAGAGAGAGATAGAATTGCCTGGCCGCTCCAAGCTTCAAACCGCACAAGGACAAACAAATCATGATTTTGACCTAACTTGGTGGTTCCCCGCTATCCGGGTTTGGCTTTCTAGGGTCTCATTTGCCCAAAGCCGACCTTTTGACCTTTTGGTTTTCCCGTTTTGGTTCATTTTTAGTGGAGGTGCCAAAAGGTTGACCTTTTATTTCTGGATCCTTTGGGCAAGTGAGTAATTTTTAGTACCTACTGGGATTATGTTCTTGCTGGATGTCCCTTGGTATCCGCAGGGTGGGCCGTTTACATTCCAAACACGCCCGTCTCGCGATTAAGGCAACATGGGACGCTCCACCACGAGAGGGAGGACATGATCTTCAACCAGGTTGCTCCGCCTGTTTCGAGTCAGAGGTTCTGGGCGCGACGCGATCCAAGGCACTTTACAATTCTAGGGTTAGATTCCTTTTCCATTCTTTCCAGCCATCGTTCTTTCAAACAATTGGTCATTTAATTCCCCAGGGTTTGTGGTGGCTTTCTAGAAAGATTCGGATCCCTGGAAAAAATGGGAAAGGTAGCCCGAACTGTACAATGTCAAGGGTCACCTAGACCGATACCCAGTGCTTGGCGGGTTTCGTTTCGCCACTTGGGGTAAGTTTTCGGTATCGTTACCTCTGGGTGTTTTATTTGAGCCACTTGCTCAAAACAAGAATCGCTGGTTTCAGTCCTCGGTTCCATTTACCCGGGTTCCAGTTTGGGGTTACCCGATTTTTGACCCACCACATGGGGAAGCCGTTTACCGTAATGAACAGCCCCTATGAATAAACCCCTGGTTATTCATATGGGGGTGTCCGATTCTGGTTTTAGTGGGGAGTGTTCACTTTTGGAGGGGGTGCTCCCCCCTATTGAAAAAAGCTGGGCTTGATGAAGTCGGGGGTCAACAAATGAGCAATGGCCACAGCCGATCTGCTTTGGCCGCGATGCGCTTTTCTTCGCACGGATCCGGACGCATGGACCGATGCGTCAGGCCCGCATCATCGAGGCCTGGTTTGGCCCATGGGCCTCCGAGGCGGGGGATCGATCCATGCTCCGCTCCAGGTGACATGGATCGATGCGTCTGACAAAAAATCGGGGACACCCCCCCAGAAAAACACACACACACACCAACAAACACAAGCAAAACAAACATAGAATCGCGCAACGGTGTTTTGCTGGTTGGTTTCTCTTTAAACCAAAAGCAGGGGCAACCCTCCCCCCCCCAAAAAAAAAGGAAGTGGCACACCGCAAACCCAAATACCTGTTCGACGAATGCCAGCAGGCTGGTTAGGATCAAGCTGGGCTGCAGCAAGGCTTCATAGAAAGCTTCTATGGGGTTCGAGCCGCTGCAGAGGCCCAGAAGGATCCGCGATTTGCGGACTACCTGCTGGGCGCGAGGACCCTGCTCGTGGCGTTCCGTTTCGCGGTGACAACCGAAATCCGACGGCGCAATGAATGGCCCCGTTTCGGTTTGGTTTGGTCATCCCCTTTGCCCAAACGAAGAAACATGCGCGATCTAGTTTCACACGCTTTCACAGCTTCAACCAGGAAGCAGATGACTGCCAGGGAACTCGCTGGGCCCCCGGAAAAAGGGACACCTTCGGTGGTTGAAGAAGGCGCTTGCGGTCAAAACGGGCCTCAGGCTCGGCATCACGGGGGTTTCGAGTGGGGGCACCAACCAACCTGTCTCGACCTGGTGTGTGTTGGAATTGGTACCCCGTTTTTGGTGGGTGTTGGGCAGGGGAACCAACCGGACAACAACCCACTTGGGGGGTGCCCTATAAAAAGACGCGCCCACATGCTGGCGGGATTGCGTGGCATGCAGCATTGCATGCTAGCGAGCGAGGACTGTTGGGGACTTGTCGGAGATCCGGTCGCTGCAGGCGGGAATATGTACAGCACAGTGCTGACCTTGCTTTGAAGTGATAACCACTTGAGCCACTTGATCAAAACCTGGGTAAAGGTTAGTAAGGGACAGTCCCAACCATAAATGGGTGCGGATATCCGCCTTTTGCATTCTTTACATGTTTTCAGATGCTGCTAGTTCCAGACTGAACTGTTCACGGGCCGATTTTTTAGTTTCTCCAGATCCCTTGGCATGGAGTAGCCCCGATCTACGCGCCGGATACTTTGAGTGGCGCCAGGAGAATCTCCAATGTGCAGGCAGGGTCCCGAATGGGAAGCTTGGTGGCTCCCAGCCATCCGGTTCAACTCGGCTTTTTAGATCTTTTTAGTTGGTTTCGGGGTTGGGTTTTCGAAATTTAACCCACTCAAAATTCAACAGTTAGTCACTTTTAGCCGGGGGTATGAAAACGGACAGCCCTGGAAGCAGGGGCGGTTCATGTGAGAAATGCCCTCGGGGGGTTGCCTTGCCGCCTTTGCAGGACTGGAGCAGTTTCTAGCCGCCGGGCAGCAAGTCGCCGGATCGAATATTTCGTGCTCCGGAAGAATTAAGTAGGGTCTTTAAGTCTGCAAGCGTTCTTTCTGGGCTTTTCAAATGTAATCGGCAAGATCCTATCCTGGGTTTCGCATGGAACCGGGTCAGCTTTGTAGTGGCTTCCCTATAATGTTAGCACTTGATTAATAAAGGCCCCCCCCCCTGAACAATGGAAGCGCCAAAACAATGGGGGTGCACTTTTGGGACGTCCAAACAATGGAGGATTTTGGGGCCCAATTCTACTTTAGTATTGCAGCCACTTCCTTTTTGCAATTCGACTTTAGTATTGCAGCCACTTCCTTTTTGCAATTCTACTTTAGTATTGCAGCCACTTCCTTTAGTATTGCAGTCACTTCTTTTTTGCAATTCTACTTTAGTATTGCAGCCACTTCCTTTTTGCAATTCTACTTTAGTATTGCAACCACTTCTTCCTGAGCAGACTTTTTGGAATACTACTTTAGTATTGCAACCACTTCTTCCTGAGCAACCGATTGAAAGGGGAATGCTTTTAAGCAAGTGGGCCACCAATTGAAAGGGGATGCTTTTAAGCAAGTGGGCCACCAATTGAAAGGGGAATGCAAGTGATAGTTTATTTTCTGGGAGGGGGGGCTGGGGGCTTGCCACTATTGTGGTCCCCTAAAACAATCACATTATTGTGGTTCTGTGGGGTCTGTGAGGGGTACCCTTGTCCTGATTGTTTTTTTTTTTGCAATTTTTTAGCACGGTTCAATAAAGAGTTTACAGTTTCAGGGCGGGGGATGGTTTTCAAATTTCAGAGTTTCAGCTGGCTTTGGGTTCTGTGGTTGAGCAACCAATTGAAAGGGGAATGCTTTTAAGCAAGTGGGCCACCAATTGAAAGGGGATGCTTTTAAGCAAGTGCGCCACCAATTGAAAGGGGAATGCTTGAGCATGTTTGTGAATTTGTTTGCATTTGGTA